GTTTTTTTTTCACACCCCTTCGAACCGTGGAGCAGGCGCGCCTGCCCGGCGACCCCGGAGTTGTTGCGGCCCCCTCATCGAGCCAGGCGGGTTCTTGTTCCCAGACACGACAACCACGCACCGCCACCACCAGACAACCACGCACCGCCACCACCAGACACCACCGCACCGCCCGCCCGCGCCGTGCCCGCCCGCGCCTGCCGGCCGGTGCCTGACGGCCGGTGCCTCGCCGGTCCGTGGTGGTGGGTGGGGCGTCCGCGCCTCTCTGAGGCGGCGGCGTCTCTCTGGCAGGCGCGCGTCAACCCTCAGCTCGTGGCGAGGCTGGTGACGCAGGCCAAGGACAACCGCGGCAAGGTGGGGCACTGCCCCCTCCCCCTCCGCCGCCCCCTCCCTCCCTCCTCGACTGCAAGCTCGCCCCCCTTCCCCCCTCTCTCCTGCCTCACTGCCTCCACCGCCGCCTCACCGCCGCCTCACTGCCCCCCCTCCCGCCTCTCTTCCTCCGCTGCTGCCAAGGACATGACTACTCGCTTCCGCAACGACCCGGCCTTGCTCGAGGGGCGGCCAGAGTCGCTCGCGCTTGACGACGTCGGCTTCACTTGAGGGCCGGACGCTGGAAGTCCCCGTGACGTGTACGTTGATGTCTCGGCGCGCCGGCGGGGCCCGACTGTCTGGCGGGACGACATGCACCCCCGCATGTACGCGACTGCTGACGCCTGCTGCGCACTCTAGCTCATGCGCGCAGGATGCCATGGCGGCGCCCTCGCGGCCGCGACTGCTGTATTTTGTGCATTGTTTGTGCGATGATGTGGGGCCGAGACTCGGAGTCGTGACACACGCCACACGCGAGTCGACTCACGATTCTAGACGATTCGAGTCGACTCACGAGTCGACTCACGTGTGAAGCATAGTGTGTGGTGTCTGGTGTGACTGTCTGCGGTTACCTGTGAGACCCGGCTAGCCCACCTGTCCGTGGCGGAGTGATGATGTCGCACGCGTCACCAGGCCGAGAGCGTTTTTGATCAATCTCTGGGTGAGGGGGTCGGGTCCCACCACCCTAGCCCTAGACTGAAAGGTGAAAACAAAAACAAAATGAAGAACCGTCAAAAACAGGCCTGCGAGAGCGGCGCTGCGCGCCGCGCCTTTGTGCGCACCTTACCTCGCGTGCGCGGGGTCGTGAGTCAGAAGACAGAACGATCGTGAGTGTATGACCCCGCCACGAGCACGACCACGGCATCGCATCCAAAAACATGGAAACTTAGACCCCATAGGCGGATGGGCACGAACCCGCGCAGCGCCGGCTTTGAGCCACGCGCCTCGACGTCTTCAGTGTTCAGAGGCGGGTGCGCCTTCCGGCAAGGACGACGACATCGAGGATGTCCATTGTTGCGCGATGGCGTCATCCATTCGTCAAGCCAGCTTCATCGTGACCGTCGCCACCCTCGCCGTCTCGCCTACGTCGCCGCCGTCGCTATCAGGCCCATTCAGGCCCACACACCCCTGGCTCCTTATGCCGACGTGTCCCGCGTGCTCCCCCGTCCGCCGATGTCTCTGCTGCCGCCCGGCGGTGGAGCCAGGTGCGTGTGTCTAATCGTAGTGGGGGCCCTGGCCCCCGTCTGTTTTCTGTTTTCTGTTTTTCAAAACGCCCGCCCGCCCGCCACCCCGAGGTGGCTCGGCCCCCCACTGACCCAACCCAGAGATCAAAAACGCTCGGCCCTGCAAGGCGAGTTCATCGAGGGCGAGGTCGTGTACTGCAAAATGCCAGCCGGCTCTACGAGAAGAAGGGAAAGATCCTGCGCATCGACAAGCCAATTTATGGCTGCCCCCAATCTGGCCGCCGTCTCCAGCGGAAGCTCTTCCCCTCCTGACCTCGGAGCCCCGATGTGCGATGACCGTTGAGCCTCTGCCCGCGCGCCCCCGCCCTGCACGCCGCCCCGCACACAAACACACCCCACACGCACCCACGAGAGAAGAATTTCCACAGAAAAACAATTTAACACCAGTGCACCTTCTCGCTCACCCTCGCCGGCGGCGACCGGCGCTTCGCCGAGAGGATCGAGGCGTTGCTCGAGGGGTGGCCAGCCGCGCACGACGGCGCCCCCGGTGGTACAGGCGGCGGCAGCCCCCCGAGCGGCGCCCTCCCCCGCGCCGCCCTCGCCCCGTCCGTCCCTCTGGGCGTGCCGCTCGACCTGCCCGCCGATTCGCTCTTTGTGTGGAGCGGCGGCCCCGCGGCCGCGCTGCACTGGCGCACCGACACATGCGGCGCCTCGCAGCGGCGCCAGCCGACCGTCGGCGAGCTCGGCTCGCTGCCCCCGTGCCCAGTCTGCGCCGCGGCGGCCTCACGCGACGCGTCTGCCGCCGCGCTCGCCGAGCACGTCTCTCCGCCGCACTCCTTCGAGCGGCTGCCGGGCGCACGCGCGCGCGCAGAGGTGCTGGCGCTGTACGCCTTGCTCGCGGAGCCGTCGTTGCGCGAGCCGGACGGCGGCGGCGGCGGCGAGGGACGCGATGCAGACGGGCCGCCAACGGTGCCGTTTGGTCGGCGGTTCTCGACCCCCGCGCGCCGCTGGCTCGCCGCGGAGCTGGCGGCGGCGGGCCGGCCTCGCCTCCAGCGGGCCTCTGTCGTGTGGGACGAGCTCGAGGCTGCCGACCCCGCCCTCCTCGAGACGTGGCCCGAGCTGGCGGTGCTACGAGACCCCTCGCAGCGGCTCGCCGACACCGCCACCGCCTGGGCCGCCGGCGAGGAGGGCGCAGCGAGCGGCTCTGACGACGGGGCGGACGGTGCGGGCGGTGCGGGCCTCGGCCCCTCTCTCGCCGCCGCGCTGCTCGCTCGCTGCCGCGCGCTGATCGAGTTTGACGAAAACGCCGCCGAGCTGCAGCAGCGCGCCGCGAGGCTGAGCTGGATGGGCGCCCGCGCAACGACACGGCTGCACGACTCGCCGCCTGCGGCGGGCGGCGCGGCGGGCGGCCCTCCCGACGACGCATCAGGCGGCGCGGCGGGGGCGGACAGCGCAGCCCTCTCCTTTCTCGCGGACGACTGCCGGCGGATGTCGGCAGCGCTGTCGGCGGACGCCGATGCCCTGGTCCGCACTGCCGCCGCGTTCGGTCTTGAGGCACCGGCACAGCCCAGCACTGCCGACTGCGACTGCTGCGACTGGCCGGGCGCAGGGGTCGAGGGCCCAGAAGTAGTAGGCAGCTGACGCAGGAACGCTAGTTGTGACACGTGTTTCCGTGACAGAGTGAGTACTGACGTCCTGGACTGTACGTATAACCGCCACAGGTAGAGATGGAGAGCTCTGAGTCTGTGTCGTGTGTAGGGAGATGTGTTTGTTAATTCCGGCATGTACCATGTTGCACTCTCGCTTGCTTTCTCACCCGTCTCTTGGCTTTTTTTTCGCTCCAGCCCCTGCGGATCTTCATAGTAGTAGAGGGCCCACAGCGTCCTAATCTAAAATCTGAGGGTTAAGGATTCAGACTTCGCTGGACGACAAAGGCGGAGGCGCGCTCGCCGACGCCGCCCCATAGACCGTCGAAAAAGAGAAACCGTCCAGATTTTTCATCCTTTTCACAGATAGGTTGATTCACAGCCTTGCGGGGGGTTCCTTTTTTCCCTCCTCCACCGAAAAAGGGCTGAAGCCCAAGAACCGGCCAGGATGCACGAGAGGAAGACCTCGCCGGCGGCGTTGCAGTCCAGCGAACCCGCCGTAGCGCAGGCGGTGAACGTTTCCAAGTACATCGCTGCAGCCAGCACGCTCCATCCGCCGCAAGAGCTCCAGAGAGGCGTCAGCATCGCCAGCACACTTATGTCTCCTTTCAACAATCTGTTCGCCAAGCTGCCGGATCGGCTGGACCGTGAGGATCGAGAGCGTCTCTATGAGCGGTCGCGCCCTGTCTGTGCCATCGACTCCTTCATCTCGCACGCGTGGCGGTCGGAGGGTTGGAGCAAGTGGATAGCTCTTGCTCTGCACGAGGTCGGGCTTGCGCCACTGGTCGTCGGTGTTGTCGCCAGCCTGCTGATGGCTCACCTGCAAAGCTCAATCGAACTACCCGGAAACGTCCGAACACGGATGGTGGCTGAGAACCCGATCGTTCTCATCGCATCCTGTCACGAGTACGTCGCTGGCTTGATAGCCGCCATCGCGTCAGTGTTTGTTTGACTGGCGGCGCAGCGACGGCGGTCATACTTTGTTGACGCGGCTTGCATCCACCAGACAAACCGAGCTCTGAAGACCCAGGGCATCCGGCACCTGGCTGGGTTCGTCGCAATGTCCTCTCAGCTGGTTGTGCTCTGGGATGAGCACTACTTCAGCCGCCTCTGGTGCGTCTACGAACTCGCAATGTACAGAGCGATCCATCCGAACAGGCCAGTGACATTCCTGCCGCTACGCAGCGCTGTCTTCGTCATCTTGGCAATGGCAGCAGAGATGGTGGGATTAGCCGTGCTTTTGCTGTTTATGATGCTTTTCTACCGTGGCGACCTGACAGGATCGATTCACGGTCCAACTGGAGAGAGAGTCTTGATGGGTGATGATTTCTGGAAACCCACGATGCCAATGTTTGTTGCTACGCAGCGCTGTCCTCTTTGGTGTGATGATGGCAGCAGTCGCGGTGGGATTTGGCGTGCTTTTGCTGTTTATGATGCTAATTTACCGGGCGACTTTGACTGGTTTGACATGGACGGAGCTTCATCATGGCCACGCTCCGCTACGACGTCTTTCTTGTCGAAGAGGTCTGTGGCGCACGCGCCGACTGCCGAAACCTCATCTGCTTCCCCGAGCACGTGGCCTTCTTACGATCGCCGACCCTGGACCTGGCGGTGGGTGCGATGCGCATGCTCCCCGTGCGACCTGAGACCATCCTTCGGCACGCCTATCCCTGCTGCCGCCCGTATGGCGCCTGCTGCCCCCACCCGCTCAGCAGCCGGTGCTGCCGCAGCGGCAACTCGGGACACAAACTGCGCGATTGGCTCAGGCAGCAGGCGGGCAACTGGAGCCGAGGAGACGCCAACGCCCCCGACCCGCGCGTCTCGACCTCCGTGGGCTTCTACCAGACGGCCAAATACGTGTGGCCCGGGCTCGCCGGCCCTCCCGCCCAGGAGTGAGCTCTTGCTTGCGCTTGGCTCGTACTTCGACGCAACTTTAATCCTTTCAACATCGTATCACGTCTTTACTGTTACACTGTCGACGTCCGTTACAAAACTACTGGACGGCCGTCGGAATCAGCATGGATTTGCACCCGACGTCGAGGCCGTCCGCCTGACGCACCTCCTACATGGCTTTGCCCGACGTCGATGTCGTCCGCCTGACGCACCTCCTGCCACCACCGGAGACGCTGCTACCTCTTGCGCGCGAGACCTACCGCTCGATCGACGCTCTCAACAGTGCCGACGAGTACGGCAAGGCGTGCTGCTGGCTCGGCCGCGAGGACGAGCCATCAACCGCGATGGAGCAAGTTGTTGCCCGGATTGCACGCCACGGCCTCGCATCGTCGCGCGCGCTGCGTTCGTCGGTCGTTGGCTACGAGTGGTGGCTCCAGCTTCGACCGCCTCGTGCAGGCATGCCGTTCCACCACGACTCGAATTGGAACGATCACGAGAGCGGCCTCTCCGACTCCCTCTCCTTTTCTCGATGCTCGACGGTCACCTACCTGAGCGATGCGGGCGGTCCGCTGATGGTGCTGGTGCCCCCGGCGCGCGGTGATGACGCGTCCAGCCCACCTCTGCCGCCGCCACAGCCACAGCCACTGCTCCGCGCGCGCGATACCGACGCGTACGAGCGGCTGATCAATGCGACCTTGAACGCGCCGTGGAATTGGTCTGCGCACCTCATCTGGCCGTCGTATGGCATGCAGGCGCGCTTTGATGGATCGCTCTACCATGGCGTCATCAGCAGTGCGGAGGCGGCGGCAGCGGAGGAGGAGGAGAAGGAGGCGGGCACGGCCCCGACGCACGAGGAGGAGGAGGAGGAGGAGGAGGCCGCGGCGGCGGAGCGGCTGGCGCTTGTCGTCGCTTATTGGGACCGGCCTCTGAGGCGGGTGCGCCGATACCCGCGCGAGCATTTCGTCAGACTCCTCGAGAGGTATGGTGGCCACGTGGATCCTGCCGCGTGGCGTGCGCTGTCGCCAATCTTTCCTCCGTCGGGAGAGAAGGAGGACGGGGCGGAGGCGAAGCGGGAGGAGGAGGAGGAGGAGGTGGTGGTGGAAGCGGAGGCGGCGGCGGCGTCGGGGTCGGGCGGCGGCGGCGGCGAGGAGTGCGCCGCCGTCCTCCGCGAGGACAGGGCGGCGGCGGCGGCGGGCCGCCGTGATGACGCGGTGCCGTGGACACGTGTGGCGGTGGAGGAGGAGCACGAGGAGGGAGCGGCGGATTTTGTGGTGGGCGGGCGGGATGGCGTGACGGGCGCGCGCTTCACAGTCGCGCTGCCGGCCGGGGTGGCGGGGAGGCGGCGGCGGCGAGGAGAAGGCGTCAGCGGAGGGGGCGGTAGCGCATATGCATATGAGGTCCGCGGCGTGAGGCTGCGCGTCGTTGGTGGTGGTGGCGATATGGCGAGGGCTAAACAAGCAGAGAGCGGGTAAGTCGAAATCGTGTGCTGGAGGTGTGTGAGCGGTGGTGGACGTGTGGGGGACGGATAAAACTCCTTTTTTTCACCTGCAACCTTCTCCGTAACGAACGGGATGCCATGATAAGGTCCCTCTGACGTCCCGCATCCGTGCTCTCTCCATCCAGTCCCTCACGTCTCTTGTACCAAGTGGAATCCCGTGTAGTACGACTTCACTTCGACGCCGAGGCCATTTATAAGATCCTTGCTTGCATGTGGTCGACATGCCACCTACTCGTAGTATATCTCAAACGGTGCGGTCCAAAGGCACGTCGCTGAGCACGGTGCTGCTGCTAGACTAGCCAAGCCGGCAGGCGGCAATGGATGGGGCGAAGAGATGCGCACAGCAACGGTTATTTGCTCTCACCAAAGACGCTCCTGGCCAGTTCGCCCGACGTACTTCCCGGATCGAACTTGCGGGCGAACCAAAACGGGCTGTGCAGCAGCTCCCGCGCGCCGAGCGCGCCCAGAGCTTGGAACTGTGTCGGATGATTGAGTCCGTCGGTTCTGCGGCTCTGCGGTTCCTGCAGCAGCTTGGGGCAGTGGCAGGCGTCCTCCATCCCGCACCAGGCCGGATATATCCTGAATGAAGTCGTTGTGTTGTGTCCGTACTGGGACCAATCCGAGTAGTTGCCGCAGGTACCGCGTGGCGGTGCGTGGTCCCAGTCTGCAAATGTCGTGCACTCCACGGAATACTGCGGCCCGCCGAGTAAGCTGTTGGCGAGCGCAGCAAATCGCGAGCGTTTGGCGACCCCGGCGAGCGACCACGTGACCTCCTCGTTGCAACAGCAAAAGTTGTGGTCCGAGCTGACGTACGCCTCAGAGATGTTGCGCACCTCTCGCCAATGGTCTACGACGAAGCCGACGTGAGTGCGGGAGAGCACCCACCAAGTCTCAGTCGGGAAGAAGAGAGGACCGCACATGCGGCTAACGGAAGGTGCGGCGGCCAGCCGCGAGTACATCCAGCCGAGCGGCTTGACTGGAAGGCACGCCTCGGACACAGTCGCCAGGTGCGTGATCGTTGGATCGGCGAGCGCCAGCATTGCCATCCGGAGCTGCGCCTCCACGAGATTAATTGGGCACCCCAATTGGTTAAAGCCGGAGGGCAGCGTGAAGTTGACGATATGCGGCGCGAAACTGGAAGGCGTGAAGTTGGCTCGCTCAGCCGGCGTGCGCAAATTGTACGCGTGGATGAGGATGAGCGGCTGAAGCAGGCCGTGGTCGCCGGCGGTTGTCAGCCAGGCCTGCCACCAGTCCCCGTTGTTGATTGAGTCGGCCACGGTGAACAGCAGCCCCAGCCGCACTTGCGAGCTCTCGAGAGCGGCTAGAGGTTGTGGCTGTATTGGTTGCTGCAATTGCATCGCGTGCCCGTGGGAGGAGGCAACGCGGAGGAAGCGCGCGTCGACGGTCTGGTCGGCCATTTGCCGAAGTTCCCGGCGGCACGAAAAACCAAAAAAGGTGCAGTCTGCCCTATGGCGAGGAGAAAGTTCCCGTTCTGTTACATTCGGTCACACGTGCTAGGCACGGCACACTCAACCTCGCGCTCGGTTGTCTGATCTTATATGCTCATTCCACTGGGGAAAGGGTCGACATATCGCGCACCGTGAGCACCGTCGAAGCCGAAGCCTCGGCCATCAGCAGCAAAGCCACGGCGGCCGTGGCGATGGCGGCGGCTTCCTTGTAAATGTCCGTCCGCGCGTCCACGACGTGTCCACGACCACCCCTGTAAAAAATCGGCGTGAAGACAGCGCTGCCTCCAGGCCCGGCAGACACGTGGCACAGCGATGAGTTGAGCAAGAGTCTAGAGTGCCGTCGGCACTGCATACGAAAGCTCCAGCTACTCGTGCGCCTTCTGCGACGAGCCGAATGCTCCCCATCGTCACGGCCCGGACGAACGAGCTGCACAGCGACATCCTCAACGTCCTGCTCCCCTCGTCCTACACGGCGGAGCTCGACGACGAGTCGCGTGAGGGTCTGCAGCTCGCTCTCGACGGCCTCCGAGAGGCCTCGGCGCAGGGCGACCTGAGCCGCGGTGCCAACTTCCACTGCGCGTCGCTCCGCCGGCACCTGTCCCTCAAGCACCACTTTGCCGACGACGCGCGAATCGAGGCGATCGAGATCCTCTACCGCCTCGTCGTCGCCGACGTGCCGGTCTCGCTCGCGGTGCGCCGACGCTGGGCCGGGACGCTGTGCAAGCTGCTCCGCCGCGCGAAGCACCTGTCGTTCACGCTGCCGTGGAAGCCGCTCCTCGACCAGCTCCTCCTCTACGCGACCTCCAAGCTGCGGATCGCCCAGTTCGCCTCGCGCTCGAGCGCGAGCGCACACCTCTCGCAGCTCGCGCGCGTGGCCGCGCAGAGCCGGCGCCACTTTGCAGAGGGCGCGTCCGCCGAGATCCTCGCCGCGATCGAGCCGCTGCTCTGCCCAAAGGAGCCGCAGTTCTACACGGGCGCGGCCCTCCTCTCGCTCCTCCTGCCCACCCATGGCAAGGAGGGCCTCGTCTGGCAGGACCGGATGCTCACGTTGTGGCGCGGGAGCGGCGTCGAGGGCTGCGTCGAGTGGGAGATGCTCTTCATGCTGTTATTCAAGCGCCTCGCGAAGGACGCCTTTGTCGGCAAGGTGAATAAAGAGAGAGAGAGGGAGAGAGAGGGAGGGCGATCGCGCGCGCGCGCGCACAGCATGCTTGTGCTCGCTCTCTCACTCTCCACGCCGCCGCCGCCCGCCAACCTTTTGTCTTTTTCTGAACGATTTTTATTTTGCCGTCCGCCTCTTGTGTGTGTGCTCTCTTCTCTTCTCTGTGTGCACCCATCCCACCAAATGGTACCGCAGGCGGCGGCGGGCCTGATCGAATGGCCGCGCCTCCTCCCTACCGTCTATTCGCGCACCCTCCTCCTGCTCAACCTGCCAGGAGGCACCGGCCAGGTCCATCCAAAGGGATGCACCTTCACAACCGCCGCATCAACCCTGCTGCCAAGCTCCTGGCCGCCGCCGATGGCGGCGTTGCGGGCGGCGGCGCGCATCCTCATTCTCGCTCTCCCGCCGCTGCCCCGATCGCCAGAGCACGAGCCGCATCCCGATATGGTGATGATGGCCGATGGCCACGGGCCCGAGGCGTCGGAGGCGGCCGCCGCCGTCGAGGCGGCGGCAGCGGCGGAGGCGGAGGCGGAGGCGAAGGCGGCCAGCGTGGCCGCGAGCGCGGCCGCGAGCGCCGCGGAGGGGGCAGGCGCCGCCGCCAAAAGCGCCAATAATGCCGCAATTGGCGAGACGCTGATTTGCGGCGGCGGCGGCGGCGGCGGCGGCGGCGGCGGCTTCGGCGATGGCGGCGACGCGTCGACGTGGCTGCGCCTCCGCCAATTGCTCCGATGCACGGAGCCGTACTGCCACCCATCCAATGTCGGCATGTGGTCCTCCTTCCTTGGCTACCTCTTACAGGCGCTCGCGCAGTTCACCTCATGGCGCGCGCTGTACGAGCGCACCGGCCTCGCCGCCTCCTCCGAGCACGCGCTCCGCCCCGCGGACATCTCCGTCCTCGCGCGCCTCCTCGCGCCTCTCGTGACGAAGGCGTTGTACTCGAAGGCGCCCCAATTGATGATGATGGCGCAGATGGCCGCCAAATACCTCGCAGAGATCTCGCCAGAGTACGTCTTGCCCGCGCTGCAGCTCCGGCTGTGCGACGGCTTGCAGGCGGTCACCGCGATCCATCAGACGCCAATGGCCCTGCAGACGCTCGCCCTCTTCGCGCCCACCTTCCTCGACCTCTCGACCGCCCCCGCCCATGCCCTCCTACCCAACGCCGCCGAGGTCGAGGCCAGTTTGCAAGCTCAAAAAGGAGTCTTAATGGATGATGATTTCTGGCAATTCACTTTCCCAGCGTGGGCAGCACTCCAATTTATACTCTGTTTCCTCGGCTACGCTGGCATCACCCTCTTTGGAGCCTCCATGGCACTTCAGCGGATAGCTCTACAGACGTCTGGGGGGGCAAGAACGTCCGCCAAATCCGTGTTTCGGAGCAACTGAGGGAAAGCCGCTGATCGAGCCCAGCGTGCCTGCGGCCGCCTCCCGCGCAGCACCGCCGCTGAGGACGACACGCTGCGGAATCGGATCGAGCCCATGGAGGAGGAGGGTGGTCGGCGAATCGGAGGAGGAGGAGGAGGGCGCAGTCGTCGACGTTGGCGTGTCTGACTCAGAGGAGGAGTTGGAGGTGCTCCAGCAACCTAACCTGATCCAGAAGCTCGCCGACGTTGTCAGGTTACGTGCGTCATGCGTGATCGAGCTTGAGGGAGGAGCTCAGGTAACGATTCGGCCGGCCACCCAGCGCCGCCGCCCACCGCCACCCACAAAGCGCCTGCTCTACTATCCCGTACCTGGCTGGCTGACGCTCGCCCCCCCCGCTCCACTTTCCCCTGACCATGCCCGTGATAGCACCATCACTGTCGCCGTCCTGGTTTTGAACGTGGCAGCTAGGGACTCGGTAGTCGTGACCGCCCCCTGAGTGTGAGGAGCAGGAGAGAGAGAGCTTTGTGGTGTTGGTGTAACGCAATAACGGGACAGGGTGGTCGTTCTCTCCATCTCCCCTTCTAGCTCTTAGCATGAGCTGCGCCCTGCGACCCCTTTTGCGCAGCAACACCTTAAACTTTCAGGCCCTCCAAATTCGGGTCGGAGCGTAGCGGAGTGGGCCCCGAGTTTGAAAAGGGCGACGGACGCTTGCGTCCTAGCCTCCAACAACGCCTCCCCGGCGCAGAGGGGCCCCCGGAGGGATGCACAACCGCTCCACGCCACGCCGCTTGCGGCAACCGCTCCACGCCACGCCGCTTGCGGCGGTCCCCTTCCCAGCTCCGCTGAGGGCCCACACGTTATTCAGTGTACGTGCGTTCACCTCACCGCACCGTTCATGACCCCGAACCCGTCAAAATCGTTGGTCCCGCGCCGCGTCGTTCTCTCTCCAATCGCTTCATCCTCAGTCTCGCGACCACTGCGAACCAAATGGCGAAGAAGAGGAAGCGCAAGCCGGATCAGCCGGCGCACCGTGCACCGGCACCCGCAGCGGCTGCTGTGGCGCCGCCGCTGGGCGGCCTGACCTTCGCCGAGGTGCAGACCGCGACCGAAGTCATCTCGATCCTCGCCGCGCGCCCTGAGATCTTCGGCTCCAAGGCGCTTCGTGGACTTCGCGCGGCGCTGCACCCGCTCGTGACGGCGCAGCTGCGCCGCTACGAGCCGGTCGACTACGCCGCGCGAGTGACGGCGGCGCTGCAAGCCGGCCGCTGGCACGAGGCGCTGCGCTCGCTCGACGGGCTTCGCGACCTGTGCGACGCCCCAAAGGCCGGGACCGTGCAGCGCTGGGTGCGGCAAGCCGGTGACGCACCGGAGCGGCTCAGGCCGCGGCTGTTTCGAGCCATCCTCTCCTCGGGCAGCGGCGGCGAGGGTGGCGGCGAGGGCGGCGGTGAGGGCGGCGGCGAGGGTGGCGGCGAGGGTGGTGGCGGCGGCGGCGGCGGCGGCGGCGGCGGCGGCGAGCTCTCTGCGTGGGGCGAGGGGCTGGTGGAGGGCGCCGACGAGGAGGAGGAGCTTGGCGAGGAGGAGGAGGGTGGTGGTGGGTTCGGGTACCGTGGGGTAGGGGAGGGTGCTGGGTTCGGGTACCGTGGGGTAGGGGATGGAGGGAAGGGGGGCGGGGACACGGGCGGAGAGGAGGGCGGGGGTGCAGAGGCGGCGGCGGAGGAGGAGGCGGAGGAGGAGGCGGCGGCGGCGGCGGCGGCGGCGGCGAGCGACATGGCGGATGCGACGGGCGGTGAGCGGGCGGCGGCGCGCCGGGCTGCAGAGGCTGCCTTTGAGGCGGCATGAATTGCCCTGAATGAGTGGGTGTTGACTAAGGTTGCCCACTACTAGGCTGCCTTTGAGGCGGCGGCGATGGACCCCGACGCGACGGCCCTGGCGGCCGCGGCCGCGGCGGCGGCCGAGGCGGCGCCGTTTCGTGTGCTGTTCGTCGAGCCGGCGGGTGAGACACTTCCTAGACACTTCGTAGACACTTCCTAGACACTTCCTAGACACTTCCTACTAGACACCTCACTCGCAGAGGTTGCGAGCAGGTGAGCGGCAGCCCCCAAACCGGCACGACCTGCACATCAACGCCTCTGTGCCGGGCGCCCTCATGCTGCGCGCCGCGCCAGGGCGGGTGGCGCGGCAGGAGGTGGCGGGCGTGCCGGGCGCGTTTCTGCTGCACGGCGAGCTCGGCCGTGGGGAGCGGCCTAATTAGTAATCAATTGGCGTTAGTTCGCGCCGAATTCGCATCAATTAGGCGTGCTCGGCCGCGAGGAGGCGGCGGCGATCCTCCGCCTCGCTCAGCGGATGGGGTTTCGGACAGACCACCCAGTCAGCAGGCCCGCGCCGTCGCCGACGCGGTGCACGCGAGAGATGCCCCCCCTCACCCTCCCGAGATGGCCCGAGATGGCCCGAGGAAGCAGGCAAAGGAGGAAGCATTCCCGCCCTCTGAGGCGGCCGTCCGAGTCGGGGAGGCAACCACACAAGCAGCCTCGCGGGTGTGGGCGGCCTTCTCGGCCCGCTATGCTAACCCTTAGTCGGCCCTTCCTCGTGGTCGGCTGCGGAGGCCCCTTAGCCCTAGCCGGAGCTAAGGGGGCCGTGCGGGCAAGCCCCCCCCCCCCTCGTACCGCCTCTCCCACCCCCCCTCCTCGCCCCTCCCATTCCCAGCGGCTGCGAGTGGCTCGCCGACGCGTCGCTGCTCGGCCCCATGTTCGCGCGCGCCTCGCCGCTGCTGCCCGCCGAGGTAGCTCCTCTCCCCGCTGCTCCCCTCTGCTCCCCTCGGCCCACCTCGGCTCCTCTCGGCCCGCCTCGGCTCCCCTCGGCTCCCCTCGGCTCCTCTCCCCACTGCTGCCGGACGGGGCTGGAGGCGGGCGGCTGGAGGGGATCATTACACGTACATATGAGCATATGAACCACTACAGACAGACATATCATACGTATGCATGTGCAAGGTTGGAGGCGGGCGGCTGGAGGGGATCAACCCGCGCTGGAGGCTGTTCGAGTACCGACGTGGCGCCATCTACCGGCCGCACATCGACGGCAGCTGGCCGATGGGCGGCCTCGACCAGGCACGAGGCACTTGCAGACACCGGCGAGGCACTTGCGAGATACTTGCAGTCACCTGCGAGATACTTGCGAGGCACTTGCGAGATACTTGCGAGGCACTTGCGAGATACTTGCAGTCACCTGCGAGGCAATTGCGAGGCACTTGCGAGGCACTTGCGAGGCACCGGCGAGGCACCGCTGTCGCTCCCTCAGACGGCCCCCACATCTCCCCCATATCTCCCCAGGACGGCGGGTATGTGCACGACTTGCACGGCGCCGCAGTCCGCTCCCGCCTCACCTTCCTCGTCTACCTCAACGACGGCTTCGACGGAGGCTGCACCACCTTCTTCCAGCCCGCGGCGGCGCCGGCGGGCGCGCAGCGAGAGCTCGATCGGTTCGAGGTGACGCCCCCCTCCACCCACCCCACCCACCCACACGCACACGCACACGCACACGCACCCCCCACACACACACACGCACGCTCGCACACACACACACACACACACACACACACACACACACACACACACACACACACACACACACACACACACACACACACACACACACACACACACACACACACACACACACACACACACACACACACGCCCGTATCTTAGGTGACGCCACTCGCCGGTTCGGCGCTCTGCTTCCCACAGTCCGCCACCGCCTCGCTGCTGCACGAGGGGAGCCCGGTGACGCGCGGTGTCAAGTATGTGATTCGCACCGACGTCCTCTACCGCTTCTAGGTAAGCGGTAAGGTAAGGTAAGCTTCTCTCTCCACCGACACACAAAGTGGTGGGGCACGGCTTACCCCCCTTTGTTGACTGGACGCAATCGGTTCGCAGTCTCTATCGACCATCGGTGCGTGTGAATTGTGTTTTGGTCTTGGCAAACTTGATATGATAGCATGAGATGTGCACAGCCATAGTCTGAGGGTTAGGTTTCTGGAGCCTCGGGTGCTTTTACGCTTTTGATCGGGTCAGGGGAGAGTGCGACTTTTACCACTTTGGTCGTCTCGGAGCGCCCAACTTTTAGCATTTTTCAAGTTTTTCTTCGGCGCTGCGCGCCGGGTGCAGTAAGTACTAGCTATCCGTCCCGCAAACGCCGCAAACGGCAGAAGTAGTTCCTGCACACTATGCCTAGAAAAATGCCGCTCGCCTCGAAAGCGCCCGCCGGTGTGTGTCCAAACACATGCAGCGCTACAAGTTTGTCACACATTGATAAGGGCGCTGCTGAGCACGAGGCTGAGGCGCTGAGCCGCTGAGCCCGGGGCTCTTTGCGGCGGCGGCGATGCGAAAGGTAAAAGGATCTGGTGGCGATGAAGGTGGTGGAGCTCAAGGAGGAGCTGGGCGAGCGTGGCGAGGCCCTCTCGGGCAACAAGGCGTGGCTGCGCCGCCGGCTGCACGCCGCTATAGCGAGCGAGGATTTGGAGACCGCGCTGCGGGCGCCGCCGGAGAGCAGAATGTCCAAAATTTTCGCGCGCGCCTGCGGCGCGCGACTTTTACCATTTTGCCCCGGGCGGGCCCACTTTTGTCGTTTTGCCCCAAATCTACGCCCGGGCGTGCTTTTAGCGTTTTGACCCAAATCGGCCGAACTTTTAGGATACCCTCAGACTATGTGCACAGCACCAGCCGTAATGACTAGAGAGATGGAAGAGTATTCCCCCACGGACACCTCGGCGAGAGAGAAAGCGCGCGGAATACGTCGGAGCGGTCGCGTGGACACACGCCCACGAGGAGGGGCGAGACGGGGGCGCGAATCGAGTGGAGACGAAGTGCAGCTGCGTGTGTGTGGCAGAGTACAGGGTACAGAGGAGGGGAGGGGGCGCGGCGAGCCTGCTTGAGAGGAAGCTGCAGGGCACGCGTGCGCAACTCACGAGTTGTGTGGGGGGTGGGGGGGGTGGGGGGGGGCGGGGGGAGTTGTACACAAGGCTTGCTGCTGCGGCTAGTTAGGAGCCACCGGCGGTGCAGCGTCCCAGAGCGGAGGTTTGCTCGCCGATGTGACCTCGACCGGAGGTCACGGCGCGTAGTCGAGATCGGGAGGAGGAACGCCGGCACCTCCGCCTCCGCCGGCGCCTCCGCCGCGCCTCCGCCCGCGGCGGCGGCTTCGGGCGGCGCCAGCAGGCAGGGCGGCGGCAGGCAGGGCGGCGCGCCGCGCGAGCGCCTCGAACTCTTCCGCCTCGCGCCTCGCGGCCGCCTCGTCGCGCCGCCACGACTGCATGATCGACGAGAGCACGGTGGCGTGCCACCGCTCCTGGGCGTACGGGTTCACCTCGTCGAGCGCGAGCGTCTTGAGCAGCGCCCGGTGCAGGCTCGTCGGCTCAGACCCCTCCGACCAGCCGCTCTCGCCGCCGCCGCCGTTGTGCGCTGCGGCGGTCGGCGAGCGGGGGCGCTGCAAGAGGCGCTCAAAGACGTGCCCCCGCTCGACCTCGCCGATGACCTGGTCGGCGCGCAGCCAGCGGCACTCGCGCGCCGTCGCGCCCTCCGCGGTCGACGTGTCCACCCTCTCGATCTGAGACTGGTGCACGTACGGCACCTCGAGGAAAAAGGCGACGTAGCGCCCCGCGCGGTTGATGATGCGAATCTTGGCCTCGTGGCGGAGCCGCAGCGCGAGGACGGCGGGGTCGCCGAACGCGCCCGCCGTCTCCTCGGTCAGCTCGCGCGCGGCCGTCTCAAACGCGTCCTCGTCCGAGTCCTCGCGCCGTCCCCCAAAGTCGCTGAGCAAGCCAGCACGCGTGCCGTTGGTGGCGGTCTGCATCAGGAAGTGAACGCCCTGCCCGCGCCGCCGCACAAACGGGATGACCCCCGCCGCCGCCACGTCGAGGCCACCCACGTTGTGCCCCTGCAGCGCGAGCACGCCTGGCCGCCTGCTGCTGCTGTGACTGGCGCTCACGGCTGGACGTCTGCCGCCGCCGCCGCCGCCGCCGCCCGATCGCGCCGCGCGAGGGGCGCCGTGCTGGACCGCGCTGCTACCCGGGACGAGCGGGAGGAGGAGAAGGAGGAACGGGGGGAAGTAAACGAACGGCATCTTGTCCTTGTTTCGCGCCGCGCTGGATGCCATTTCTCGTATGATGCTTCGTGCGAAACAACAACAACATGCACACAGACATGAAGGCAACAACTATGCAAGCAACATAGCAACATGCATTCCGATTTGGCAACATGAACATCACACTTAGATAACGCACCGTCATTCCCCGCAATTAGTTTGACAACATGCCCTGGCAACATGCAACAAGTTAAGCCCAACATGCGGCAACACAAGTCAACTTCAACTCGGCGGTAAACGGCCGTTCCAAAGTGCCCGCCGCACGCCGCCTTTCAGGTCCAGTCGTCGGTGTTCGCGGGAGCTCCCACGACCATCGCTGCTCTCAGAGCTGCTGCCCGCCGCGATACACGATGCCGGTGCCGACGCCACCGCATGCGGCACAAAGGACGCGCCCGTCTCCTTCCGTCGGGCGGCGGCTCGCCCAGCTGCTCGTCTTCGTCCTGACGCTCGGCACCCCACCGCCAACACTCAACAAACACGGTACAGGATCGATCGAGTGCACGCTGCAGAGGCAGTGTCGTCCCCCCTCCCTCTCCCCGGCGGTGATGGCGGTGTGACCGCATCGAGCTACAAGAGGAGCTTGTTCAGCATGTTGTTGTTGGCAAATCAAGAGACAGAGAGAGCTCACACAGAATCACAGCGGGAGGAAATCGGCGAGTCGCAATTCCAGGGGTCGTTGTGGCGGGCCACCCTGTCCAGAAGGCATGGAATAAATCTGCAACTGGAGAACTGCGCGTTTCTGCCGTTGCCCAGATTCTAGGGGTGACAAAAGTGGAAAGGGGTTTCTTTTAGAAAAAAGAAAAGAAATCCAACGGACAATACCCAACGGCGCATCGGGCATGGTCCGCGCTTTGGCAATCAACCTGCTGCTTTTGCTGCTGCCAACGTCGTCGGCTCGCACCACCACCACCATTCGCGCGCCTGGAAGCGCGGCTCGGCTGCTTGCCTCACCGCGCGCTGGCGTTGCCGATGACGTGGCGGACGCCGGCGGTTTTGATCCGCTCGCCCGGGAGCTGCGGGCGCTGAGCCCGGCAAAACGCGACGCCTGGAACGCGTTTCGCACGCGGCAGCTCAACGACCAGCGTCGGCGGCGCAAGCAGTCGTGGGGCCAGCGAGGGCGGGCAGCCGTTGAGCCGGGAGAGATTTACGACATGGACGACTTTGCGACGCGAGAGCCTGCTCCGGCGGTGCTCGGAAGCGACCCGGTGGAGGGCTCGCCTCGCGACTTGAGCGACGACGCTCTCATGGACGAGGAGCAGGCGAACCTCGCCCTGCTGCGAGAGTTCTTGCGTGCGAGGGACGACCTGAGTGGCCGCGTGTCTGAGGTGCGCCCTCCTCCAGAGGGGGACTGGGGGCAGGGATGAGGAGATGCTATTCTGTTATGTGTCGCGGGTGGGTCTTGTTTTGTCATATTTTTTGCCATTTATTATTTTTGCGCGGCCGGGATCTGGCCTCTGCCACGAGGTGCCGTGCCCGCCGTCTCTCACACCAGACGACACACCGCACTCCTCTCACGCGACCTGGAACGTGGAAGGCTGGAACCGACGACCTCTCTCGTGCGCTATGGAGTCTGCGCGGGTCGCTCTGTGGGGCTCGGCGGGGCTGGGTCCACCTCGCGCACCACACCGTCGGGAGAGTCGCCTGCTGCGGCCTAGTGTGCTGTGTCCTGTGCGAGCTCTGTGACACACAGCTCACAGGCCACATCGGGGTATGTGTCACATTATCATTTTATGTGTGACGCGCCGCGCACAATACAAATGTACATAATAGTTGGCGCCCCCCCGCCCCGCCCGCCCGCCCCCCCTATTTTTACTTCTTCCGCAAGGCGACGAGGTAAAAGTCATGGCCCTCGAGCGTGTGCGGCGGCGTCCTACCCGGCGCGCACTCCTCCGCCGGCAGCACCTGCAGGCCGTGCTCCTGTGCGCGAGTCGGGGGCGCGTGAAAGGCGAGCAGGAGTGTCGACTCGAGGGCTGTCAGGCGGGCGTGCTGCCGGTGGGCCGGCGGTTGTGGCTGGGGCAGGAGTAGAAGATGCAGTGTCAGCCAAGGGTGCCCCACGTGCGGCCGGCATGGCGGCAAGGGGGTGGGAGGTGAGGGGCGGGGCAGCGGGCGCTCCTCTGCGAGCGACTCGAGCAGCGCTGGCGTCGGCAGGCAGGAGCGGGCGACGGCCGGGTTCCCGCGGTGCTCGCCGGCAACGAAGGCGGCGCCTGCGCGAACCAGACACGCTTCCGTTGACACAGCTTACGGGCGAACGGGCTCTCTAGCCTCCGTCTCTCCCGCTGCCTCTCCCCTTGCGAGCGAGGCAGAGGGGGAGGGAGCGGCCCACAAGCTCCGCCTCTCTCACAAGCCCCGCCACATCCCCGCGCCTTGCGCGTGCGCGATGACGACCCGCCCCCCCGAGCGGACGGCCGCCGCAGCCGCGCCGACGAGGCAGCTCTGGTCAGCGAAGAACTGCGACGCGCCTGCCGGGCGCAGGGACGCGCGATGGGTCGTAGACGCCAGGCCTGCTCGGCCGCAGGCAGACGCAGCAGCACGGCACCACTCGAGGAGCACGCTCCGGGGCGAAGGGAGCTGAAGGGAGGGTGGGGGTGCGCGAGCTGCGGTGGCGCGCTGCGGTGGCGCGCCATTGAGCAGGCAGCAGTCGTACTCGCCCGACGGGTCGAGCTCCAGAAAGTCGGCGCCTGTGTTCGCGGCGTGACAGGCGGGGGAGGGGAGGGGTGAGGGTCCCGCCCGCAAGAGGCGCCGACGGCCTCAAGAGACGGGCGGCGCGTCTGAATGTCGCGGCTGGGTGCGCGGCGGCGGCGGCCGCGACCATCCGAGCGGAGAGGTCGATCCCCAGGTAGCGGCCCGCGTCAGCGCCGGCTCGCAGAAGGTGCGGCAGCAGGGCTCCGTCGCCACAGCCCACGTCGAGGACGGCAGGGCCTGCGGGGGAGGGGTGGTGCCGCGTCGGCCGTGTTGGGCGGGGCATGAGGGCCCAGTCTGGAGGCGGCAGGAGGCGGCTCGCGCGAGAGGCGGTGGGAGGCGAGAGCGCCCGCAGAGGCGGCGCAGCCGGCGATGGCGTCGATCTGACGACGCGCTTTCGCAGACATGCCGGATTCGCCGACCGACCGCTGCCTGGCAGGGATGTAGGCGGCGACGGCGTCCCAAAAGAGCTCAACCAGCTTGGCGTGCGCCGCGCCGGTCGGAAGCCCTCCCTTGGCCTCCATGAGCGCCTGCGTCGCCGGAGGCTGCGTCAGGTGCGGGCGGAACGCCAGAGTCCAGGGACGGCCACGCCTCGAAGAGCTCTGGCTCGCTGCGGCTGAGCGCTCGCATCGCATTCTGGAAGCTTTTTTCCTGCGCTACATCGACGTCGCCGCCGGCCTCCTTCAGCAGCCGCTTTGCAGCGGCGTCAAGGCTGGTCTGCTTGGACGCAGCCGCACCAAAGCCGCCGCCTGCTGGCCGCGTCGCCTTGCCTTTCCGTGGCGACGCGGCGAGCGCTGCGGCTGGATCGGCCGCCAAGGCGATCAAAATCCAAGCTGAGGCGCGACAGCAGGGGTGCATGTGGGGCTGCAGCGCCGAGATGCGCTGCAAACCCAGTTGATCAGCGACGCTCGGTGGGCTCTTCCAAAAGGCCCTCACGTCACGCGCAAAAAGAATTCAACGCGGTGAAATATTGCACTAATGGCGCTCACCTGCTGTCCCATCTCCTCATAGCGCTTGAACGGCGCTTCACTTGAATGGCGTTCGCTTCGGCCGGCCTGCCGCCGCCGGCGCTCAACGCTGCCGCTGCCGAGGGCGCGGCGCGCGGCCGCGACGGCGCGCAAGAGGCCGATGATGGCCAGAGACTCGGCGTGAAGCGCCGCCTCGACGGCGAGCTCGCGAGCGCGCGCGTCAACGACGACGACGCCAAAGAAGGCGACACCATTATGGTGGACGCCGCACAGATGGCCGCTGCGGCGGCCGCCGGCACCGACCGCGGCACGAAGCGCCTGCTGCACGTCGCGCTCGCGGCGCGCGACGGCTCGCACATCCCGGACATCCAGAACACGACGGCGCTCGTCACCGAGATTCGACAGCTTCTGAGGAAGACGCCAGGCTGCGAGGCGCAGCCGGCGAGCGCGATCAGCGTGCCCGTCATCGGCACGTCGCGCGCCATCTGCGTCGCCTTCAGCGGCGAGAGCGAGGCACGTGCCTTCCTCGAGCAGTACGCCGGCGGTGGCGTCCTACAGCTCCCAGCGCCAGACAACATCACCATCACCTTCGCCGCTCTCGACGCCACCGTGTGGGGCAAGCAGGCGGAGGCGCGCGAGACCCAGGCGACCATCGACTCCGACGGCCTCCTCGCCATGAGCGGGGATTTGTTCCTTCGCGCCAAACGGTGGCCGCCCTGGACGCTGGACCCTACCCGAACCAGCACCCGCGCTCACGTGCCACGAAAACGCCCAAGCGGCCGCACGCCACACCACACGCCCACGCCCCACCCTCGCCTGGCCGCCATCCAAGTCTCTGCGCGCGGACGCGCTCGCCGCCACACCACTGCCACCACCCGCACCTCCCTCTGCGTCGCAGACGGTTGTGAGTGTGGCCAAATGGCTGACGAGGAGGTGAGCGCCGCGCCTCCCCGCGCCTCCCCGCGCTGCCCTTCGCGCCACGCGCGCGCGCGCGCGCGCCTCGGCGCTGCGGCTCGTGGAGCCGCTCGGGCGGCGGCACAGCGCCTTGTCGGCCGCGCCCTCGTGCCGCGCCCTCGTGCCGCGCAGAGACTGAGCCTGCGCCTGTGCCGTGCTGCACAGAAGCCCGACGTCAAGGAGGGAGGCGATGCCATCAACCTCAAGGTGGTGACACAGGACGGCAGCGAAATCTTCTTCAAGGCGCCTCGCACCTCCCGCGCGCGACCCGCCCGGCGGCGTGCGTGCCGTGTCCTCGTGTCTGATCCGGCCTCTCTGATCCGCAGTGCAAAAAGACGACGGCGCTCTCGAAGCTGATGAACGCCTTCTGCCAGCGCCAGGGCATGTCGCAGCAAGGCGTCCGCTTCCTTTTTGATGGCGAGCGCCTCAACGGCAACCAGACACCCGCCGAGGCGCGCCGCGCTGCGCCGCTAGAGCTCCCCGCATCCTCTTCCGCCGCGCCCGCCTCTCGCCCTCCGCGCTCACTCGCCCTCCGCGCCCACTCGCCCTCCGCGACGCCCCAGATGGACATGGAGGATGGCGACGTCATCGACGTGATGGTCGAGCAGCTCGGTGGAGCCTGCTGAGGCTGAGGGCAAGCAGGCGGCAGGGGAGGGAGGGAGGGCGGCGGCGGCGGCGGCGGCGGCGGGGCGGCATGGCGTGGGCCGCGACCATTCGGGGAGGCGGGTTGTCCGCAAGAAGGGCATGCGGGCGCGAGCGGAGAGGCGACAGGGCGAGCCGGGCCTACGCGCCTTCTGCCCTGCCGGGCCCAGTCGCGCCGCACCTTTCACCTGCGGAGAGGCAGCGCTGCCGCCGGCCTCGGGATGGTTCCATGTTGTGTGGGAGCACGGCGTGGGCGCGGAGGACGACCGCCGCCTTCAGTGTATGTGTATTCTCGCCACCCCTTCTGTACGTGCACTCGGGCGAGGAGCAAGGGGGTGGGAGGGGCAGGGTTCGGGTCGTGTTTTACGTCGCGCTCAAACAATTGGTAGCCAGGTAGGGCGGGAGGTGCCACAGACCTAGACCTCCACACTGGAGCCTCCACTGCGACTGGAGAAAGGAGTAGGATAGAAACCTTGAAGGCGCAGGCACAGGTACAACAAAAACATCCTCTCGAGGTACAGGTAGTCCCCATAATTAATAGGTTTCACCCACGGCACTGGCCGGCAGACTTGCACCCTACTTAGCTCAGACCCGAACCCAGCCCAGCGCCGATCAAGCGAACTCCCTGGCAATATGCAGCTCGGCGTCGGCGAAGTCGTCCGAATCTTCGGCCTCACCTCGGATAAGGGCCGCGAGCTCAACGGTCGCGAGGCGACAGTCCTCACGGTCGGAGACCGGTGCCACGTCGAGCTGGCTGGCGGCGACGCTGTGTCAGTCCGGAATTGCAACCTGGTCCGCGCCGGCGAGTACGATTCGGACGACGGGTGGAACGTCGGCCGTGTCGCGAAACGGCAGCGGACAGAGCCGGGCAGCGCCAGCAGCTCGGGAAGCTCGAGTACAGCGCTCGCGGCCTCCAGCGCTGCGCCCTCGCCAGCCGGAGTGAGCGAGGAGGGCGCCGTCTGGCTCGTGCTCTCGTCCTACTCCTTTCCCGAGGGCTGCGCGTGCGTCGCAAACGCTCCCATCGCCGCCGCCTTCCGCTCGCTCGAAAAGTTTGAGGTATCGGTCCAGTGCGATGACGATGCGAGTGAGGAGAGGCACTTCAATTCGGAGGCGCTGCTCTACTCGCGCGCCGCCGCGGTGGCCGCTGGCGTGCCCTTCCCGCTCTCGCAGTGGATGCCCCTCGGCAAAAGTGGATTTGTCGCTCGGGCCGCCGCCTCGCTCCCCTTCTTCGGCCCGTTTCGCGCGCTGCAGGCACACGCGTCTGCAGCACCGATCCTGCTCCTCTCTACCATCGGCACACGGCTGCAGCACAGACCCGCTCTCTCCGGCGCTATCCATCTCGATCCATCCCGAGTCCACCTCGGGCTCTGCCGCAGGCGTACCAGATCCTCTCCTCGGGCAGCTGCGAGGCGCTGGCCAAGTTCGAGAGCGGCCGGTGGCCGCGCCCACCGGCTCGCGCAGCGGCGCGAGTGCGAGCAGCGCCTCTTCACAGCTCTGGCTGTGAACAGTCCGCCCACCGGCTCGGACAACGCGCTGCGCCTCAAGAACGAGGCTGGTCGCTCGATGGGGTCGGCGCCCGAGAAGCGGCAGCTCGGCAAGGTGTTCGGCCTCGGAGCGAAGACCGCCATCGACCTCGTCGAGGCGGCGGTGAGTGTCTTCACCGCTGCTGGGTGCCCTCCTCTGCTCCGCCTGGGTGTCACCAACACAGCCCACGACGCGCCCCGGCTGCCGGCCGGCTGCCGGTTGTACCACGCCTCCGCCCCGACGGTCGGCCGCCCGTCGCACTCGCCTCTCAGGGTCGCTTCGACGGCCTCACGCCCGTCCGCTCCGTGCCGAGCCTGCTGCAGTCGCCGCAGCACCTCGCGAAGCTTGGCGGCGACAAGCGGGCGGGCTCGCGGCCCTAGATGCGGGAGACTGAGGTCCGCACACTCGCAAAGACACGCACTCGTTGCGCTCGTACCCGTTTAAGGTACCCCTGTCTTCACGCGATGCTCCACCGCCGCTCCCTCGTTTTGACACGCCCACAGGCTCGCTGCTCGCCTCGCTGCGCCACTTTGACGAGCTGCAGGAGCCGGTCAGCGAGGCGGAGGCGCTCGAGATGCGGAGGTGAGCTGTTTGGTGGCGGCGCTGCTTCACCGCACGCCAACCCCGAACCTTCTTGGAACCTTCCCACAGGCACGTGCTGTCGGTAGTGCGGAGTCACCACTCGGCGCGGGCGGGCGAGCGGCGAGACTGCCCGCCGCCGCCGGCAGGCGGCGGCCCGTGCCGCTGCTGCTGGCACGCGGACCGACGGGCGATTTTGAGCGAGACGACCCGCGATGACCCGCGATGACCCGAGACTAGGCACGCGGATTTCATGGGCGGCTCTCGCACGCGCGGCCGCGCGGGCCACGATGTGGACTTGCTGCTCTGGCACGCGACGGAGCCAAACAGCTGGGGCGAGGGCGAGGAGGCGTGCGTGCTGCTCCCGCTGCTGCGCGAGCTGCTGCTGCCGGCTGGCGGCGCGACCGGCCCCGGCCTGCTCCCCAAGGAGGAGGCGAGGCTGCAGCTCGTCCGCCGGCCGCACGCCGAGAAGCAGCGGCGTGACGCCGACGGCGCGCGCGCCTACCTGCCTCGGCGCAAGGCGGCGGCGGCGAGGGACCGTGGCTCGGACATACTACACGGGGACTGGCACGACAAGGCGTATGGCATCTGGCGCAATACTGCTGGCCGACACCGTCGGATAGACATCGTCGTGGTCGCGTTCCCGGACGAGCTGCCGTACGCGCGACTGACTTGGACCGGCTCGCGGACCCTCAACCGGCTCCTCCGCCACCGCGCGATCCAGCTGGGGCTGCACCTCACCGCAAACGGCCTCACCGCCCACCCGCCCGCGGGCCGAGGCCGGCAGGAGACGACGGTCGTGCTCGACGCGAGGCCGGGCCGAGAGAGGGTGGAGGTGGCGCTGGTGGGGCACGCGCCGGTCCCCGACTGCACGAGCGAGGAGGAGGTGCTGAGGGTGCTCGCGGGAGGCACGGACGCCTTTGCGGGCATATACGACCCGCTGATGCGGAATGCGTGACGGAGAGATACGTATATGCGTGTGTGCATGTGTGTCTGCTATGAATGTTTTTATTCACGTGTCACATGGCCTTTTACGTGTTTTGACAGAGTGCACGTCCGGGGTTATCGCCCCGCTTCCCGCGGCCCCGGCGCGTCGCGCGGCCCGCTGCCTTCGCGCTCGGCTTGGCCTTGTTGGGCGGCCGTCCGGAAGGCTTGGCGTGCGGCTTGGCGGGCCGCGTGGGCTGCAGCGAGTCGCTCTCAACCGCGTCTCCGTATAGAGTCGTGCTCCACTCGGCGGGCGGCGCGTCGGCGGGCGTCGCGCGGCCGCCGAGCAGCCCCTGCACCAGCGCCTCGACCGCGTCGTCGGCGCCCGCGGCGCCCTCGCCGCCGTAGACGAGGCGCGGCGCCGCGGCGCGCACTGCCCTCTGCAGCGCGCGCACCTTGGCACGCGGCATGCGCAGCAGCCGGTGGAAGAGGCCGCGCGCGGCGTCGGCCCACGAGGCGTTGCGCGCGCCGACGTTAGTGAAGTTCTCGAAAACCGAAGCTGATGATGCGTCCCAGTGCCACGGCCACAGCCGCAGCTGCGCCGGGTGCAGCAGTACGGGGATGCACCCCACCGAGACGGCGTCGGCGATCGCGGCGCGCGCGACGGTGTCGCCAGGGGGCTGCAGGCAGAAGGTGGCGCGCGCGTACCACGCCACTGCGTGCAGCGCGTTCGCGCCGTTGGGTAGTGGATAGAAGTCGTGGCACGTCGAGTTGTCGCGCGCCGCGCGCGCGCGGCACTCGGCGACGAGCGCGTCCCGCCACGGGCGGAAGCCGAGCGCGGTCATCGACTTGTGCGAGTAGCGCCCGATGGCCATGGCCACGTGGACCGGCCGGGCCGTCGGCGACGAGGTCGCGGGCGGAGGTGCGTCGGACGCGCGGCCCGCCAGCGCAACGGGAGTGCGCGCGTGGCCGAGATACGGCACCGAAATGGTGCCTGTGGGCGCGAAGCCGCACGCAAAGCGCTGCACGAGGAGCGGCTGGTTCGCAGCGATGCGCACAATGCGCGCTGCTGGGCATGCGGCGTCCGCGCAGGTGCCCGGCCGCGTCGCCTCGCAGCCCCAGAGCGTCCGACAGAAGTTGGGAAAGTTGCCCTTGTAGAAAACGAGGTCGGGGTCGAAGAAGCCGATCACCGCCAGCCGCCACCCGCCGCCGCTGTCGACGCCCACAATGAGCATGGAGCCGACGCACTTGTGCTTCTCCTGCTCCGCCTCGAGGCGCTTGAAGTAGTCGTCCTTCTGAATGGGTGCTGAATGGGTACTCCTGAATAGTGGGTCGGGGCGCTGGAGGAGCACAAGTGCGTGAAGGGCGGTGATTCGATGTCTCTCAACGGGAGGCGGCGCGAAAGAGGCGGGGCGAGCGCTCTGGGGGACGTGCAACCGACAGAGGAACGGAGGTCCGCTCGGGACCGTTGTGCAGCACACCCCACGCGTGCGATAGGCAGACGAAGTAGAGGAGCGGCACACGCCACGCGTGCGATGACGAGTAGTCGTCGCCATCGCGGCCGGTGGCTTCCAGCTGCGTATGCAGCTCGGCCGCTGCAGAAGCCTGCCATCCGGTGTTTTGAGACCGGACGCCCGAGCGGCCCGAGCTCTGTCGCGGGAGATCAAAGAAGAAATCTCGGGCGCAGGTCCCGTACCATGCGGAATCGACCCCGTGCTCAGTCTCGACCCTCAGTGTTTTTTTCGGCCTGCACAGCCCCCAGCTCGGCGCGCCTCAAAGGGCGGCTCGCCCCAGCTTTCCCCTCCGGCCGATGGCCGGCGGGGGCGCTGTCGGAGCGCGCGCGTCTCCGGCGCAGACGCGGCCGCTGCGCTCCAAGTCCAGGGCGCCGCGCGGGGATGCTCCCCTTCCGCGCGTCGAGGCGCTGCCAGCGGAGCTCGTCGCGGACCTAACAGACCCAACACCAACCGCCACGCGCGCGGGCGTGCATAGCATGTCTCGCCGAGCCGGCGACCAGCTCGGCGGCACGGCCGACGCGGACCGCCGCTTTTGGAAGAAGGTCGAGGAGGATTCTACCCTCCTGCGCGTTCTGAAGCGCACGGCGCTGCAGAGGGCACCCCTCGAGTGCCGCGCGGCGCGGGAGGCGCGTCTCTCGGAGCTCCTGCAGCCGCCTCTCTCGCTGCTGCGAGCACGCGCTGTGTGCTTCCGCCGCGAGCCGGGCGACTCCGACGGCTCCGCGCTCCACGAGCGCTGCCGGAGCTGGGACGCCGCCCCGCTGGCCTCCCCCTTCAGGGCCGAGGTGGACGTGCTCGACCTGCTTGCGGAGTACCGCATAAACAGCGGCAACAGTGTCGACACCCAGCCCGGCGAGGAGGTGGTGGCCTGCACCATCTGCGGCGGGGGCGTGGACTCCAGGCCGCCGAGCGAGGCCGAGGTGGCGGCGGGCCTCGCCGTACGCCTCGCCATTTACAGGCCCTGCCTGCACAAGGCCTGCGACGCGTGCCTCTCCACGTACGCGCTCTCGTCCGGCGCCTCGGCCCTCTTCCCCTCCAACTCGGCCGAGGACGCGGCAGCCCGCCGCAGCTACGAGGCCCTGGGCAACGTGGCGCAGGCGGTCATGGGCGGCCACCTCAAGTGCCCGCTCTGCCAGGCGGTGGTGGAGTGGCCGTGGCGCCTGACTGCCCCCCTGCTAAAGGTGTGTCGGCCGGTGGCGGAACGGCGTGCGCCGGTGGCAGAGCCGCGTGCGCCGGTCGGCTAGTTTGGCCACTGGAGAGGGCGTTACTCCCACTCCAAGTCTCTTCGGAGATGTAGAGGATGGACGGCGGCTGCGCGCACTCAGCAGCAGCAGCAACTCCGCCATCTCCGTGCCCGGCACGGACGCACACACCCAGGAAGCCACTGGGGGTTACGTGCCACACTAGTGTGGAGCGGCAGCACTGCACCCGTTTAGCGCGTGTCATCGTTGCGCGGCGTGTGCGCGCACACACAGCGCTCTGTCTCTCAATGTGTCGGACTCGCTCTCGCTCGAGCAGCTCTAGCTTAGTTAGCGCTCGCCCGTCGCTCCAAGTCCATATCTCACTGCACGCGTGTAAAGTACGTAATGCTGCAACATGCAAGGAGACGGGTGCAGGAGAGACCATGTGCTGTGCTCAGCCGGGCGCGCGCACGAGTCTGGGCTCTCTCTGGGTCTGGCTGTGCACGCACACACGAGACACTCTCTCTGAGAGTGAGACGACGAGTCACGACACACCGTGCGGAGAAGAGATGCACGTGTGTGTATATACTCGACGGGGCTCTCTCTTCCACAGACACACACAGTTGGCGCACAGCAACAAGCGCCACACCGTGTGCTCACACGTAGGGTTGTCGGGTCATGCACAGTACTCAGTAGAGGGTGTTCCACCCGCTCGCACCACCCCGCGCGCTAGTGCGCGTGAGTGGCGTGAGGAGGGGAGGGCCTCACAGGGCCAGGGCCTCTCCCCCATCCGCAGGCCGCGCCAGGCGGAAGGCCTCCTTCGCCTCCGGGTCCGTCTTCGCCGCCTCGCGCAGCGCCTCCTCGTCGACGCCGATCTCGAGCAGCGCGAGGGCGTAGCCGCGCCGCACCAGCAGCGCCAGGAAGTTGTCGCCGCTGGTGCGCAGCCGCTTGGCCTCGAGGGCCGCCGCGTTCTCGTCCTCGAAGGCCGCCCAGGTGTCCACCGCGCGCAGCTCCGCCAGCAGCGCCCGGTTCGCCGAGAGGGGCTCCTCGGCCTCGACGCTCGCCAGCGAAGGGAAGGAGTGCACACGCTCGTGCAGCGTCGACAGCTTGCCCTGCAGGTGCGTGCGCGCACTCCCGTCCGGGCCTGAGAGCTCCTCGTCCGCCTTGGCGGTCCAGGCAGGGAGGACGTCCGGCGTCCAGATCGTCGTCTGGGGAAGGGGGAAGGGAGGATGCAGTCGGGATGCAGCCGAGATGGAGCCGAGATGCAGCCGAGGTTGGGGGCAGGGAGAGGTTGTGGGAGCCAGGCTGGGGTGGGGGGGGGGGGGGGGGCTAAAGTGAGGAGGGGGCTAAAGTGGCCAGAAGGGGGGCGGTGGGGAGGAAAGAAAGTCGGCCTAGCTGCCTCCGCCGCTGCCGCGGCGACCAACAGAGACACGAAGTAACGGGGGTCGGAACCCAACCGATATCTCGTAGCCCCCCCCATTGGGGAGAGCCCGCTCCGTGGTCGCCAACGGCGGCGACTGCGAGGCGAGCAGCGCGCGCGGACGACGAGTGGCGGGGGCTGGGATTCGCGCGGTGTGGCGCGGCTGGGGGGGTGCACGCACTCGAGAGGAGGAGCGACAGGGTCGCGCGGTAGGGTCGCGAGAGCCTGCGGGGGGCCGAGGTGGGAGAAGGCCTGAGTGAGGTAGGGGACGCGGCCCGAGAGACGGGGCGGCTGCGGGGTGGTGGGGCTGTGAGCATGCGTGCGCGGCGTCCCTCCGTGTTGAATGTGACAGAGAAACGAGAGATATTCCGTCACAGGGCAGTGGCTCAAAAGAGAGCACCACCGACAGATTCAGCTGAGAAGTGGCGCGGGGAGCGGTGGGGCACACGCCAGGTGGTAGACTCACTGAGTCGGCCAATTCCTCCTGCAGGCAGGTTGACGGGCCGCGGTCAGCATCTACCACAAGCGTGGGGTCTGGTGAGGGCGATCGTGAGTGAGCCCGCAGGTAGGAGGAAGCGTCAATGACCATTCCTGCAACCACCGCAGGCTCCCAATGTAGCAGGGGTAGCGTGTGAGAGCGCACCGGGTCCACCCGTCGGACGTTTTGAGGCGGCCTCTCCGGCCTATCCAGAAGAAGTTACCGACGCACGCCCAGAAAGAAGAATTTAGCCGACGAGTAGCCGGGTTGACAGGCGGGCGACATCCAGTTGTCAGATGTCACGATGCATCCGAAGGGGACCCCAGCGCCGGCATCATCCGTAGAGGCACGAGTGTTCGAAGAGAGAGTGGACCTGAGCAACAACATGACCTGTAGGCAAATGATCGGAGTGGGAGTCAGAAATGTGGTCCTTGCGCGAGGGGAGCTCGATAGACTCGAGGGGCCAGGATACGCCGCGAGGAGGACGGAGTTGCGCCGAAAGGCGAAAGAAGCCGCGAGAACAAGGCTCAAGGGACCGGCAGGCGGCGGCGTCGCAGGACGAGGCAGAAGAGAACAACGCGACAGAGGAGGAAGTGACAAGGGAGAGAACAACGAGGGTGGGACGACCGCGAGGTGGCATGAAGGTTGCAGCGAGAATCGGCGAGAGACTGCGAAGAGAGATAGGAAGAGGCAGACTCCCTAGGGTGGGCGACGGATAGCGCACCACACACCTCTCCTTAAAATCCCTGTGTGGTGGCGGCGTGCCGTCCTCCCATCCCTCCCTTGGGTTGTCTGTTTTCTTTCTTTCTTTTTACGCCTGCCGGCGTGCCGTCCTCCCATCCCTCCCTTGGGTTGTCTGTTTTCTTTCTTTCTTTTACGCCTGCCGGCAGCATATAAACCCATCTGAGCCCGAGCATTAGTACTCGTATTACGCATCTCCCCTCCCGTGTGTGGGCAGTAGCTGACCGTGTTGAAAGTGCTGCACGTTTTTCAGAATTTCACCCTCTCTCTCTCTCTCTCTCTCTCTCTCTCTCTCTCTCTCTCTCTCACGCCGGCCTCACTTGACTCTGCAGACTGCTCTCTCTCCTCTACTCTCGAGCTGCTCTCTCTCTCTCTTCTCTCCCCCCCTCCCTCCCTCCCTCCCTCCCTCCAATCGTTCTACGGCCGCGCTTCAGGGACCGGACGATATCGTCCGTCCCTGAGGCAAAGTTGCTTTCAACCCCAAGGAAGCAGAACTCCGGTTCCGTCGACGATAAAGAAGAGAAAAGAAGTTCGACCCGGGACCGTCCGCGAAACGTCCCTCGGTCGCACTTCGGCGACAGTCTCGCTTCGGCCTCTCGCCGCTGGTACTGAATATGCGCAACATCCATCCGTCCACAACCAATTGGTAGAGCACACCTCGTCTCTGCGCCACAATGGCTGCGTGACGGGCAGCTCCCAGTGTGGGGCAGCTTGTGGATTCATCACAGCGTTGAGATCAGGATGGAGCGAGTTGGACCACTCAGAAGCTGACCTGAGCAGTGCCCCTGTCAACACGGTCAGGGCAGGAAGGGCGGACATGGACCCGCTGCGAACTCCCTTGTCTGGGCAGTAGCTGCCGGCCGTGAATCCCTTCCCGGACCAAGAATAAACGTGCATGTGCGATGCGTGCCGGCGTACGTGGAGCGACCGTTTACTGGCAGATGGATGTGGCAGTGCGGGTGTGCCGCCGTCTCGGTGTGTCCACTCCCTAGGAGTGTTGACGCTACCTGAGTTCGGCAGCCGCCCGCGGTGATCATGTGGACCTGGTGCATGCGAACTCGCTCGCGGCTCAGCTGCGGCTCGGCTCCGGCTGTCGGCGTCTCGCGTCTCGCTCCTCTGTGCGGCCGCATGTCGAGTGACATTACTCGGCTCTGTCCTCTTTGGTCTGTCCACAGCTCCCTACCAATGCCTGCCCTGCTGCTCTCTGCTGAGACTCCCCCCCCCCCCCCCAACGACCACTGTGCAGGCTAATGCCGCTCACTGCCGAGACGACGCACCAGTCGTTTCATTCGACCTCTCTAGCACACCACACAAGCCCACAGAAAACCTAATTTTTGAACGCGGAGGCCTATGGCTTGTGTGAGCGACACTGCTCGGCGACTGCCGGCACACTGTGAGACCATGGGTGTGAGGTAAAACCACGCTACCAGCGCTTGGTCACATCGGCCCCGAGGTCAGATCCTTCTACTCTGTTAGTGACAAGACTTGTCTACTGGCTGGAGCCGAGCAGGAGGGCCAGGCGCACAACCCCTGGTCAACTCACGGTCCACACCCCGTAGATTTGTAAGAAGCGCATCTAGCGCGGGCCGGATGATCGGGCTGGAGCTCGAGAGAGATCTTCACGTAAACGCACAACCCCGGGCCCGATCTTCACGGGGACAGCCACCACCCTCGCCTTAAGACTATGGCAGCCGCTGCGCTGGTCGCTCGCATGGGCCGCACCGTGGCGCTGTCCTCGGACATCGCCACGCGTGTCGTCTACAAGCGGTGGTTCCTCGAACAAACCTACGATACGATCGCTGCAGAGCTTGAGACGGGCACAGCGACTCCCAGTCGTAGCAGCGACCCGACGAAGGCGCTGACACGATGCAGACCGCCGCACGATCGGAGCGGTTCGTGCAGGATCGGTGAAGCGCGAGCCGACGCACAAGCAGCTCCTCGAGCCGGCCATGGTGCGTGCCTTCGACCGTTCCCGGCGGCAGAGTGTCGAGCGGCGGCGGAAGCGGGTGAGAGTCACCCAGTGTGAGCCGCTTCGAGGCAAAGGCGAGGACGCGCTCGGTTGGCACGAGCCAGAAGCTCTTTTGCGCGTCTTCGCCGCCGCCGCCGCCCGAGCCGCATGCGCCACCGCTCGCTAAACCAAGCGGCTCTGTGAGCTTGGTTGAGCGTGGCATGTAGATGAACGGCTTCTTCGCCGCCGCCATTAGTGCTGCTGAAAAGTGCGAGTCGTGCATTTTCCACATTAGAGTCGCCATTCACAGCCTCGTGGGGCCGCGAAAACTGTGAATGCGCGGGACCAGGTGGCTCTGGGAAATCGTCTGCCCAAGTTTGCTTCGGAGCTGTGTGTCGCAAATTTCGCAGTGACAAATGGAGTCCCCGCTCGAGATGATCGGCGCACTGCTTCACAAACAAAACAAACTCTCGCGCATCGCGGTTTCTACCACGACGCGATCTTTGTCAAGCGCAACAACTTCAACCTGCTGCTCCACGAGACGTTCGGCGGCGGCTTCTCGCCCACCGCCGTTCTCAAGCTGCGCCGCCTCGCGCGCAAAGTCGCGCGCGGCAGCGTTGACCGCACGGCCTACTCGCCCAAGTACTCGCTCTCTTTTATGTCCCACCATGCAGAGCGCATCTCTCTCTCTGTTGTGCGAGGCGTGAACCGCGCCATTCGCTCTCACCTGGCAACCCTGTCTGCACGTCTCGCGCGCGCGTGAACAGGGCTCCAGGCCCCAAATTACGTGTGAGTGTTAGAGTTGTTTGGTATTGCTAAAAATCTCTCTCTCTCAAACAAAAATCTCTCTCAAACACAAAATCTCAACAAACACAAAATCTAAAAATGCACAAAATCTCTCTGCTTCAGGGCAAGCCCGACAAAGAGAAAATCGGGATGCTGAAGGCGCTCCCGCTTCCTCCGCCTGCGAAGATCATCCTCGGAATGATGCACCTCTCGGCAGAGGCCGATGCGTTCAAACTGCTCAAACCGATCGCAAAGGAGTGTGGTGGCCGAGAGTGCGGCGAGCGCCGGATTTTCGACAAATTCGCTGCCATGAGCGACGCGGAGATCGCTCACGGACTCGCTGCTCTCCCGCCCGCCAAAGCTGCAGCGGCGTCACTTTTTCGCCGGGCTGCTCACTGGGATCAAGGTCATGCAAGCGCGCGGCGAGCTCGACGACGACGACGACGACGAGTTTGGCTTCGGCTCTGACGACGATGACGAGGAGTACACGTCGGACGAGGAAGAGGAGGAGGAGGCGGCCGACAGGGCGCAGAGGCACTCCATAGGCTCGGCGGTCTGGTTGGCTGCGAAGCGGCAGAAGAAGTCCTGAGTATTACTGTCAGTGAACTTGCCGTACGCGATGTCGTTGGTCGGGTTGATGGCGAAGGCGTTTGCGAGGCTTGGATTCGCACGACCCGCGTCCACGGCGGTGTCGAGTTGGACAGTGTGGACATCCGAGTACACACCAGTCGAGATGTCCAGCTCAATGAGCTTATAGACGCCGACTTGCTAGACGATTTGCATCGGGTTCGGGTGGTTCGTGCAGTCGAAGGCTGACACAGACGGGGACGGCGGCGGCGACGGCAGCGACGGCGGCGTGGGCGGCGGCGGCGAAATGGGTGGCGCGTTTGACACGTGGCAAGCCGATCCGCGCGTGGTGAGAGGGGGCGTGGAGGAGGGGGTGAAGGGGGAGGCTGCGGGCAAGGGACGGAGCTGGGAGGGGGAGAGTGTGTGCGCGCCTTCCAGCCGATCCAGTGTTTGGGAGTTATCCAGTCGGCGTGGTTCAGAGATGTCCAAACAATGTCTCCACTCGCAATCGCCCCGTCGGGGCCGTCGGGGCCACAGAACTGTACGGGGCCGTTGGGGCCACTCACCTCGAGGGCGTCGGAGTATCTGCCGCACACTCCGATCTCCGTCCCCCGGTCCAGACTCCAGTGTCGTAGTACGAGCCGTATGAATAATTTTTATCGGGCAGGGCGGCTCGAGCAAAGAAGTCGACCGACACCAGCGGCAGCATCGGCACGCCGGAGAAAGTAGATAGCCAGTGCGCCTCAGGCTGCGCGCAGCCACAAGCGTCGTGACCGAGACAGCTGCTGCGTGACGCGCCTGGGCAGGAGCGCGCCCTTGTGGGTACTCGTGTTTCGATTCCGGCGGGCACTTGCAATGAAAAGAGGCGGGAAAAGAAGTTGCTGGCCCGCGTTCTAAGAGAGAGAGAGAGATTTTAGCGTGAGCCTTGGCCGCCTCTGTCAGTGTGCCCGTGATAGTGAGAGACTGCCAGTGAGAAGCCGGAGGAAGGTCGCTAGTCGAGAGAGATCGCCAGTGGAATAGGGAGTCCACCGTGCTGCGAACCTGTCGCTCGCTGTCCCTTTTGTCAGTAGCAGGAGAACTAGGAGAGCGCAACCAGTAGGAGGCCCGCGCCTGCCCCCGTGCCGCCGGGTGCAACTTTGTCCTATACGAGAGGGGAATCCCTGGGACCCTGTCGTGTGGGTGAACCCTGCCCAGCCCCCCCCCCGTGTCGCGATGCGCTCCCCGCTCCCGTTCCCCTGTGTCCCTGATCGTCCTTACAAGATCCTGCTCGCGCAGGTGGGGACCCTGTCCTTCTCCCACCCCTTGTTTGGTGTGTCCGTTTTATTTATTTATAGAGAGAGATTTTAGAAAACCAACAAGAAAAAGAGAGAGTAAAATTCTTTTTACATTCTTTTGTACCTGTGTTAGTGCCAGTGCGCGCCAGTCCCGTGCCCAGTGTTGTGCACGGCGGTTGCAAAATTCTTTTTGACAGCGGCACATTATGCTCCGCAGCTACGGCTCGCCGACACGGCCTGCCCGCACGCCTTCCCCGAACCTTCTTGGAAACTTCCCACAGGCACGTGCTTTCGGTAGTGCTGTCACCACAGTGCGGCATAGGCGGCGCAACAACGCCACGCGGCTCATCCCGGAGGTCCTCGTCTTCAACGGCCGCCAGAATCTGCTCAGTGGCAGCTTTGCGCCTCGAGGCCTCGGCCGTTATGCTGCCAACGTGCGGCGGACAGTCTCGATTCACCCGGGCACGACGACACTCTTCTTGGACGACAAAGGCTGCGCGGACACGTTGTTGAGTCATCGTGAGATTGGCGCAGCGCTCGCGCAGGCGTTCCGCAACGAGGCCGACGGCAGGCTGCGGAGCGATATGTGCCGTCTCGCACAGCTCTATCGTCACGGCGGCTACTACTTCGACAACGACATCGCTCCGCTCTTTGACCTCCGCCGCATCATCGATGCCGACACCACCTTCGTAACCGCCCTCACCACCACCGCCTTCCCACAAAATCCTCGCGGGTTCTTCCAGGCGTTGGCTTTTGCCGCGTTAGTCTCTGTGGGCCCCTCGAGAGGTCGCGGAGCCCATAACCTCGTCTGGTTGTGTGATTAGGCATTCCTCGGTGCGGCGCCGGGACATCCGGTCCTGGACGTGGCGCTGCGGCGCCACTTGCGCTGGTACGACGCCAAGGCGAGGCGGGACGCGGCGGAGATCCGGCGCGTGACGAGAGGGAACACGCGGCCCAACGTGGGCACAGTGCTGCTGCGGGACGCCTTCCTCGAGTGGGCGGGCGGGTCGGCGCTGGCGGAAGCGGAGGCGGGCGGGCGCGTCTCACACGGGTCGCGCCACGCCTCGCAGCTCCTGTTTGAGGCTCCGCGCAGCTCCCTCGGAGCCGCCTATAACGCGTCGCGGCTCAGAAGAGCGTCGCCGCTGTGCGCGTTTGTGGTCGCCGACCGCCGCAGCCGACGGGTGGGGTTGATCAGCCGCGTGTTCGACCAGAATGCCGGCGTGTCGTGCTTGCGATGACGGCGATGGGGCTGTGATATCGGTAGAGAGCGTCAATCTCTGTACGTGTGCAGCACCTCTCGGCCCGGGGTGCCGCGGGGAGGAAGTATTGGGGTATTGTCGGCACAGTAAGAAACGTACAACGGTTGGGCATGACACGATGCGGCAGGGGCAGCCTGGCACGGGGCACGAGGACACACAAGAACATTACGACAGGCTGTGTACATGGTGTACAAGACCGCACGCGACGACACGACACAGTACGCGTGGGTTCTAGGAGGCGCGACGGCGGGGGGTGGTGCCGTCGGGCTGCTTCGACTCCGTCGCGGGCTGAAGCTCGGTCGACGCCGACATTCCTTTTTCCATCAGCCTGTTCGCAGCGCTGAGGAGGGCGCTGAGGGCTATGACGCCAGAGATAGCACCGAACGCCCACAATGTGATCTTCCACACGCTGTGCGTGCATGAGCACGCGCCTTCCTTCTTCATGAATAGTGTGTTGCATTTGGTCGAGCAGGTGACTGGCCGCACGTCCTCGCGGAGCGTGCCAGCGTCAGTCGAGGAGTAGTCGGCATTAGTGGGCGCGAGTTGGGCGTGAGTTGGGCGCACACTCTCACGCTCGACGGTTGGCGCGGCAAGCGAAGACATGATTATGAGGAGGCTGGCAGCAGGCATTACCTCGTGAGCCAGGCCGGGTCGTTCTTTGCGTGCAAGGCCTACCCACGTTTAGAGACCGCGGCGATTCTCGCCGCGAATCTCTAAGACACGCTGCAAAGAAAACGAAGGCTGTATGTATGTTCTATGTAGCTCTTACGTACAGAGGAGGACTGCTGACATTTTTATGGATTTTCTTCAAAAAATCCTTGCTGCTCTATTGGTGCAGCCGGCCAAGTCGACTAATTCACGTTTCCGCCTGGGAAAAATACTTCTGCTGCGAAAAAAAGCTCGGAGGCACACCGTCGAAAAGGGCTCGGCGAGATCTATCGATTGGCACTATTTCCGAAAAATCGACTAGATTTTCCTCCCCCGGACCTCCCCTGCGCGCCGCAGGCGAAGCGAAATTCGGCTCCCTGCGTCGGTCGGCGCTCGATCTGGACTCGATCTGGGGCACCTATACAAGCCCAAGCATAAGTGAGGCTTAGGGCGCTAGGATCGGTCGCCAGGACGCGACAGAGACCGGCACCGGTCCGCATCATCCTGCCAGCCCGCATCAGCGCGCGCAGATGGGGGGGGGTGGCTTGCGCGCAGCCAGAGCTGCGAACGCGGGCGGATGCGGCTGCAGGTTGAGAAAGCCGTCTCGAGCGGCCTGAGTCAGATCACCTGCGGCGCGCGCCAGCGGAATGGGAGGAAGAATGTCGGCTCTCGTGCAACCGCAGTCAGCATCATGCGTGCACACCTCTGAACCGAGCAACGGCTCGAGGCATTGCCTGGCGGCCGCATGAATTTTCTTTGCCTTGGCCAGATCCGACGACGGCGGCGTCGCCTCCGGCTCGAGCAGCGCCACCCGCGCCTCATCCGTCGGGGCGGCGAGAGCGGATGCGGAGGGTGAGGCGGAGGTGAGAGGCGCAGCAGGAGAGGCGAAGAGTCAGATGTGGTGGCGCCGGCCGAGGAAAAGCGCAGCGCGTCGCTGATGAAAAGCGCTGACGCGTCAGCTGCTGAGCTTCCTGATCGTCGGAGAACTCGTCGGCTTCAGCTCCGGCGCTCTGAACGCGGCAGAGATGCCATCTCCCGCGCGACGCAGCGAGAGCGGGCGCACCGAGGACCAAACACACCTACGAACGCATGAACACGGCCGGAGACGGGTCAGTCGTAGGCTACTCATGTGTCCTCGATGGATGGGAGTGGCCTGGGCGCGAACGATTGGACAGAAATGGAGCTAAAAAAGCGCGCGTATCCCGTCGTCACGCTCGACTCCGCGGCGCTCCAGGAGGCCAGCGCGGTCGAATCTGGCGATTCGGCTCCAATCGCTGGCTGCTCCGGACCGGTCCCGATGGTGTGGGCACCGCGAGCGGCGCGCGGCGGTCTCGCGCGGGCCGTGTATACGCGGCGCGCTCACCAGTGTGAAAGATCGCGCTCTAGGCTGGGTGTCGACGTGTCCAAGGGAACGGACGTCGCCGAAGGCCTTAGTTCACGCGCCGAAAAGTTAAGTATATAGTAAGTACGTCGAAGCTCTCTAACTCGCCTCCTGCTAGCTGGGGCACGCTCCCACGCGGCTGGGGGCCGCTCTTCAGCAGCTCGATTAGGGCGTTTTTCACGCGATTTTACGGAATTACGGGTTGGAGGGGGGTGGCGGCACATAGGGGGAGGGGGAGACGCGCATCTACGAATCAAGTTGGTGCCGGCAAGAACATTACGACAGGCTGTGTACTTGGTGTACAAGACCGCACAAACGGCGCACGACGACACGACACAGTACGCGTGGGTCTAGGAGGCGCGACGGCGGGGGGTGGTGCCGTCGGGCTGCTTCGACTCCGTCGCGGGCTGAAGCTCGGTCGACGCCGACATTCCTTTTTCCATCAGCCTGTTCGCAGCGCTGAGGAGGGCGCTGAGGGCTATGACGCCAGAGATAGCACCGAACGCCCACAATGTGATCTTCCACACGCTGTGCGTGCATGAGCACGCGCCTTCCTTCTTCATGAATAGTGTGTTGCATTTGGTCGAGCAGGTGACTGGCCGCACGTCCTCGCGGAGCGTGCCAGCGTCAGTCGAGGAGTAGTCGGCATTAGTGGGCGCGAGTTGGGCGTGAGTTGGGCGCACACTCTCACGCTCGACGGTTGGCGCGGCAAGCGAAGACATGATTATGAGGAGGCTGGCAGCAGGCATTACCTCGTGAGGTAGGTCGGGTCGTTCTTTGCGTGCAAGGCCTACCCACGTTTAGAGACCGCCGGCGATTCGAGGAGATTGCTTCTGCTCGGTCTCCCACGTTCCCCGGGGGTCAGATTTCGATTCCTCACCGCACTCCGATTTCTCTTTGTCAGGCCATGTGCCGCTCGCTCGTCCGCCCAAGTGACTTGGACGCGCGGTCGAGGGCACCCCACCGTTCTTGAAGCGCGCTGGCGCGCACCAGCGATCGTCCCCCCACCAATCCACCCTTTTTTCTTTGAGGCTGTCGCTCCGAGAAAGCTCGTCTCGCAGCTGCGAGAAGGTATAATCTCGCGGCGAATCTCCAAGACACGCTGCAAAGAAAACGAACGGGTGTATGTATGTTCTCTACATATTCCCGGAGGAGGACTGCTGACATTTTTGGATGGATTTTCTTCAAAAAATCCTTGCTCTAAGCTCGAACTATCTGCCGAGTTAGCCGTTCGCCTTTCTTCCCCCCTCGCCCGTCGTCACCGCCCCCCACGCGCTCATCGCTCAGACAAAACAGATCTCAAGATCGAATCTCAACCCAGGCGGCGAGGACGCCGTCGTGGGGCCGCCGGTGGTGGGCCTTGTTGTAAAGGTAGTCGCCGAAGAAATCGACTGGCATGCCCCGCTCGAGCGCGTTTGTTTGAGCACTTGAGCACTGGATAGGGTCGATTCCGCATGGTACGGGACCCCTCGATCGTCTCACCCTCCCTCGCTGGCGTGCTCATGGGGGGGGGTCATAACAAACACGGTCCAGGATCGAGGTGCACGCCGCCGAGGGACCTCGGAGGGTAGATCGGGCGGTGTCGTCCCCCCTCTCCATCATCTCCGCGCGTTTGTTTGTTTATCAGTCACCTTCTGCCAAAAAAGTACCTTGCCGGTCACTATTGCAGGGCACTTTTGGGAGGGTTCCGGCTCCTAGCCAGATAGGGGGTCTGTTGACCACGACTCGCGCCAAAACACCCTACCTACCTACCTATTGCAGAGGGTGGATAACCCCCTATCTGGCTAGGAGCCGGAACCCAGCCTTGGCCAAATGATCCTTGTGGGCAGTCTGTTCTCTGCGGCGACCTCCGCGGCCACGCCGACCACCGCGGCCACGCCGACGACCGCTCTTCCGACGCTGGCCACGCCGACGTCGGCGGGCGCGAAGCAGGCAGGGTGGGGCTTCACGGTGGCATTGGCCGATCAGCTCGGCGAGGCGCTGGAGCCGGGCGTGTCCGGAGACAAGGCCGATGTGCTCTCCGGCGCGATCCTCCACGGCATGTCCTCCTTCATCACGCGGATCGTCCCGTCGCCGCCTGGCCCGCCTCCAAACCCGCCCAGCCCGCCGCCATCGCCGCCTCCGCCGCCGCCTCCGAGCCCTCCGAGCCCGCCGCCGAGCCCGCCGTCGCCGCCGCCCTCCTGCGTCGGCCTCGAGTCCGTCTCCCAAGTCGCGCTGGGCACGTGCGCCAGCCTCTCCCTCGCTCCCGCCGACGCGAGCAGCAAGCTCCTCGGCGACGACGCGGCCGACGCACTGGTCAGCTCACTCGAGGAGTCGACCATCGGGGAGCTCTTCCTGGATGGCAACACCGTCGGAGACCGCGGCGCCGCCTCGCTCGCCGGGCTCGTCGAGCGCAGCCGCCTCTCCCGCCTCTCGCTCGTCGACAACTCCGTCACCGACGCCGGCGCCTACCGCCTCGCCGACGCCGCGAGGTGGTCCGAGACGCTGCACGCGCTCGACCTCGACGGCAACCCGATCGGGGCGGACGGCGCCGTCTACCTGGCCGAGGCGCTCGCGTACAACCGCGCCCTGCGCGTCCTCTCCCTGCGCCGCACCGGCCTCGAATCCGCCTCCGCCTCCTCCTCCGCCTCCTCTTCTGCCGCCTCCGCCTCCTCCGCCGCCGCCTCCTCCGCCTCCTCGCTGCGCGTCGCCGAGGCGTTTGGCCGCTGCCTCGCCGCCAACGAGGCGCTCGAGGTGCTCTCTCTTGGCAGCCTCTCAACCGCCGCCGCCGAGGTGCTCGTCGGCGCTCTCCGCTCAAACTCTGTCCTCACCACGCTCGACCTCGGCGGCGGCACCCTCTCCGACAGGGCGCTCTCCGACCTCGCTCTCCGCCGCTTCGCCCCTCTCGGCGGCGGCGTCTGGCGCAGGCCGCCGCTGCCGCGCGCGTGCGCCGCGCGCTGCGGCGCGGCCACCTGCGGCGCGCTGCAGGAGGAGGGGCTCCGCTGCCCGCAGGTCGCCTCTGACTTTTGCGCGCGCGGCCTCTTTGGCGCTGGCCGCGACACCTGCGCCGCCTGCTGCACGGAGCACTCCCCTCCGTCCGCTCCGCCGCCGCCCGCGCCGCCGTCCGCTCCGCCGCCGCCCTCGCCGCCGCCGCCGCCGCCGCCGCTGCCGCCGCCGCCCTGCCTCGACCTCGATCCAGACTGCGCCGCCCGGAACCGCGAGATCTGCCGCTCGCGCTCGCGCAGCTTCGCGCGCGAGCGGTGCCCTCGCACGTGCGGCATGTGCCCGAGCGCCCTCTCCGCGGCGTGGGGGATCGGCTTCGCCGACTCGCTGCTGCACGAGCCGCGCGCGGCGTCGGCCCACTACCCCACCGGCGGCGGAGCGCGCACACTGCTGCTTGCCGCCGTCGGCGCCGCCGGCCTCGCCGCCGCCAGCCTCGCCGCCGCACGTGCGCGCCGCCGCGGGCATGGCGGATGCGGCGGCGGGCAAGCGCTCGTCTGAGCGGGCGGGCGCCCTTCAGAGAGGAGATCTAGCGACCTCCTCTGCCCTTCGCCCATCCCCGCACACGCCTCAGCCCAGCAGCGTCTCCCCCGTTTGGTCGAGCCCGCTTCCCTGCTCGGCGCATAGATCGGCGTCTGTCCGCCTCTACCAGATGATTGTACTCGTTCGCAGTCGCTCAGATCATGCTAGCATACGTCAATCCCCCAGGTGATACAATTCGTCAGCGCCGAGTGGTGCAACTCAGAAAATCACACCCCCGCAACTCAAGTCTCGAGCCGCGCGCGAGGTCGGGGGGGGGACGAGCTTGCAGCTTGCCCGCCGCGTACCGGGCTTTGATTCAAACAAAGGCTTTGTCCTTGTGGGGGAAAGGACAATATAATATACGGACGAGTGAGGAGTGTGTATCGTGTGTCGAGACTTCGTGCGTGTCGAGACTCGACAGGTTGCCAACTCGTCTTTCCATAATCCTCCGTACGTGAAAGCGCGGTGAAAACACCGTGATCACGCGACTCGTGTGTGTGTTAGAGTTAGTGTGTGCGACAGTGCGAGTGTGTGTGTCGAGTTCGTGTAGTCGGTGCGATATATCTTGTTACTTTACTCCATAGACCATACTTTCACCGTGCGCGAACACACATTTGCAGTGCACTGCCAACAGAGTAGTGCTTCATAGGAGCTAGGTCCTGGACCTCTCTCCCGTCAATGTATATGGACGAGAACGTACATGCCGTGTGCCATCGGTCTGATTGATCGTAGCGGCACTGGAGACGCACGAACCAAGCCAGGGTGGGAGCCGGGGGAGATCTACAGAGTGCATACATTACAGAGAGGCATACTGGGACCGCATTAAGAAACCACACCTCAAGCGAGTCCGAGGTCGGCCCAGATCATCGTGTGGTCGGACGGCTCCTCGAGCGTCGGGTACGACTCGACCCCCCCCTTGTCCAGCACCGCCTCCTTGCTCGGCAGCGGCCGCACGGCCCGCACGGTCCAGCCGTCGCCGTCGGACACAAAGATGTAGTCGAGCGTCTCGCAGAAGGGCGGCTCGCCCGGCTTGGCGAACTTGGTCACCGCCAGGTTGGTGAACTCGGGCTCGGAACCGGACGCGAGCACGTACGCCGACCTACCCGGAAGAGTCGCGGAGACGTCCGCCGAACAGGCAACGCACCCGCACCGACTCGAGCGCGTGTCTGCGGACCTCATCGGCTTGGGCAGCGTCGGCCGCCACGCGTCGCCGTGCGGCGCGGCGGGCGGCATGTGCGGGTCCTCCTCCGGCAGCGTGCCTAGGAAGGAAGGAGGCTCCCACGAGGCTCACGCACGGCTGGTGTGCCAGGGTCCCGTCTCTCTGACGGAGTCTCTCTCTCTCTGCCGGAGTCTCTCTCTCTCTCTCTCTCTCTCTCTCTCTCTCTCTGTGTGTGTGTGTGTGTGTGTGTGTGTGTGTGTGTGTTCGTGTGTGTGTGTGTGTGTGTGTGTGTGTGTGTGTGTGTGTGTGTTCGTGTGTGTGTGTGTGTGTGTGTGTGTGTGTGTGTGTGTGTGTGTGCATGTGTGCATGTGTCTCTCTCTGACGGAGTCTCTCTCTCTCTCTCTCTCGCGGAGTGTCTCTCTCTCTGGCGGAGTGTGCCGGTGGTGATCAGCTTGTAGGGCGCGTCGGCGGGCTTGATGTTGAAGTCGCCCGCGAGGACGCAAGGCGTGCCTAGGGTGTGGTCGCACCGGGGTGTGAACACACAGGGTGTGAACACACCGGGTGTGAAACACGGCGTGACTCAGGAGGGAGGACAGTACACAGTGCGAGTGGACAAGGCGTCGGCGTGCAGTGGTCACTGAGGTGTTGTTGACGGCATGGAGCACTGGCGAACGCCGTCGAGTCCGCGTCTTCTCGAGTCCATGCCCGTGTGTGAGGTGCGTGCAGCAGGTGCGTGCAGCTGGTGCGTGCAGCAGGTGCGTGCAGCAGGTGCGTGCAGCAGGTGCGTGCAGCAGGAACGTGCGGCATCCAGGGACGGCGGCGCCTTCTCCGGCGAAGCGCAGCGCTTGCTGCGCGGCGAGGGCGGCGTGGTTGGTCATGACCTGCACCTGTGGAGTCAAGGGGATGCTCCAGGGTCAGGGGCGTCGATACGGTGTCGTGAATGCAGCTGAATGCGGCTGAATGCAGCTGAATGCGGCTGCATTCAGCTGAATGCAGCTGAGCGTCAGCCTGAATGGAGCGGTCTGTACCCCGCGTCTAAGACCTGCGCCTTTGCGTCTGAGCCGAAGAGGCACGGCATGTGGTACGTCGACACCTGCTCACACCCTCCCCTTGCTCCAAGCCCTCCTCGTCTCGCGCAGGGCGGCGCGTGCGGCACGTCCGCACCGACACCCGCCGCCCGCTCCTCTTGCACCGCAAGTTTACGCTGACCAAAAAGTTGTGTCGCCGCCGCGTCTCGGACCACACGTCGAAGGGGCGCTTCTGCGGCGCCCGCCACAGCGTGGAGAGCGACGCCCACGCGCCACAGAGCGCGACTCGCAGCTTGGAGCGTGGAGGCTCCTATTCCACCACACATCGTGGAGAGAGATCGAGGTGTGAGGAGACGCGCAGCTTCGGAGCGCGGAGGCTCCTCGCTCCGCGGCGGCGACGGCCACGACTTTGTGTCTGCGACCCGCGTCACCGCCACCTCCTCGCTCGAGAAGCGCGCCGTCGGCCACGCGAGCGAGACGCCTAGCGGACGCCTCCCAGAAGGCTCGCAGAAGGCTCGTGCACGGCGCGCCATCGGGCGGGCGAGGCGCCCATGTAGCCGTTGAACGGGGAGCCGTACGAGCCGGTGACGAAGGTGTACCCCGCCTCCTCGAAGAAGGGCGTCAGCTCGCCGATCCACGGCGCCGACACCTCCTGCAGGCAGATGACGGCGTCCTCCTCGAGGTGCGGCCGCAGCAGCGTCTTGATGCGCGCGAGCCGCTGCGGCGGGTCGAGCGCGTCGGGCGCGCAGCGTAGGAAGTGGTCCGGCGCGCACAGGTGCGACGAGAGCACGTTGTACGACACCACCCGCACAAACGGCGCCGCGCCCGCTGCAGACATGGCCGGGCCGGGACCGCCCACAGTGAGGCCGCCATTGGCGGCGATGGCGGTGCCGACGGTCGCAAAGGCGGCGGCGGTCAGCGGCCGGCGCACGCGGCTGAAGGAGGCGTACGATGCGGAGGCGAACTGAGACAGCACGCGCATTATCGATGTCCTCCTACTCGAGCAGGCAGGAAACGAGGGTTTCCCTTGTGTCCCCTTCGCGTGCGAGCGTGACACTGCACTTGGCGCCGAGCGCCCGCGGCTCAGACCTTGTGCAGGCCACCCCTCGGTGGAAGCACCGGTCCGGACCGATGGCGCTCGGTGTGGAGCAAGCAAGACCCCCCCCCCCCCCATCGGCGCGCGCTCGCCATTCCAACGGCCGCCAGGAGCACCAAGGCGGGCTCTCCCAGGTGTACCTGTGTCAGTGCCAGTGCGCGCCAGTCCCGTGCGCTGGGGCACTTGGAGCACTTGGAGTGCAGTCAGTAACCACCTCACATCCAGGGCCGGGGAGCTGAGAAGCGCACCCAGCGAGCCGGATGATCGAAAAGAAAGAAAGAAAACAGACAGGCCAAGGGAGGGATGGGAGGACGGCACGCCGCCACCACACAGGGATTTTAAGGAGAGGAGTGTGGTGCTAGCCGTCGCCCACCCTCGGGCGTCTGAGCCGGATGATCGGGATCGGGCTACGAGAGCGGCTAAAAATTCTTTTTGGAAGTCACAGTGGACTAGGTCGCAGCGCCTGCCCCGACTGGCTCGTTTTCCCGCCGGACCATGGGCCGCAGGGCGCAGCCCGAGCCGAGCGAGGATGACCTCCCCGAGGCCGAGGAACCGCCTTCCGCCGTGGAGCTCGCGGCGCTGCGCGGCTGCTGGGAGCTCGCCTCGCTCTCGCTCTTTTATCGCCGAGTCGCGCCGGCGCTCAGCCTGCCGCAGGTGCCGCGATCAGTCGCACAGCTGGAGAGGCTGCTGTTGCATCCGGAGAAGGCACAGGCTCTACTGCCTGCGCTCCTCGACGGCGCTGCAGCCGTCGCCGCTGGCGACGCGACTGGAGAGCGTGCTTGGCAATCGGTATGCGGGTGGGCTCGCGCGGGCGCGCTGCCTGCGCCCTTCGACGCGCCAGGGTCTCTCCACCCGGAGCTAGTGCCACTCGAGGCACCGGCCGAGGGCGTGGCCGAGGGTGCGGCTGGGGGTGCTGCCGAAGAGGCTGCCGACGGGTCGAGCGAGGAGGCGGGCGAGGAGGCGGGCGAGGAGGCGGGCGAGGAGAAGCAGCTAGCAGAGGTGAGAGAAGGGACGCACCTCCGGAACGCGTCTCCGGCGGACTCGCACGCCGCCGCCTCGTCCAGCGCCTCCTCCACCGCCGCCGCGGTCCCGCCCTTTTGCTCGGTGCCGCCGTCGATGCGGTGTGCGCTGCTGCTGTGCCTGGCCGAGTCACTGGTCGACGGCACCACCGCTGACTGCGCCTCGCTGCACGGCCCTCACATGGGGGCCGAGGCGGACGGGCTACGCCAGAGGAGGGTGGGCAGCGACGCGTGCGGCCGGAGGTACCTCTACCTCGGCGACACGCGCCTGTACGTGGAGCACCCGCCGAAGGGGAGAGCAGCAGCCGCAGGGCAAGCAGGGCGAGGAGGAGGCAGGGCGAGGGGCGGCGGCGGACGCGGCGGGGGGAGGGCGAGGGGCGGCGGCAGAGGAGGCGGCGGCAGGGGCGGCGGCAGGGGCGGGGCGGGGCGGGCGGGGCGGGCCAACGGCGGCGCGTCCAACGGCGGCGGCGGCGGCGGCGGCGGCGAGGCGGGAGGCCGCTGCCGGTGGGAGGTGAAGCGTGTGCAGCGATGTGGGCGGGGGAGGGTACGGGGAGGAGGGCGGCTCAGAGGTGAGGCGTGTGAGCAGGTTGCTGCGGACGGGGCGGAGGAGTGGCGCGCCGTCGCGGCGGCTCTCAAGAAGAAGGGGTGCGAGGGTGCGCTGCGGGAGGCGCGGCGGCGAGAGGGAGGGGGAGCACGAGGCAGAGGGAGGGCGTGCGAGGGAGGGCGTGCGAGGGAGGGCGTGCGAGGAAAGGAGGGAGGGCGTGGGAGGGAGGGCCCTCCTCCCAGGCACTGCCGGTCCCTCCCCCCCAACACTGCCTCTGCGCGGCCAGGCGCTCGAGGGGCTCCTCGGGGAGGTGGAGGAGGAGGAGGCGGAGGAGGCGAGGCTGGCCAAGGAGGAGGCGAAGCGCGCCGCGCCAAAGCGAATCTCGGGCCGCGTGCAGGCGCGGGAGATCGAGCGCGTCGAGCAGGAGAGGAGGGAGGCCGAGGCGGCGGAGGCGGCGGCGGCGCGCGCGGCGGTGCAGAAGGCACTTCGCTCGCTGTCGGAGCGGGCCCTTGGTGTGCCGCCTGCGGAGCTGTACCGCTGCTCGGCGCTGCGCGCGAGCAAGGAGCTGACGAGGCGGCGCGACTCGATCGGCGTGGACGGCGCGGCTGGGCGGAGAGGGAGAGGGGCGGCTGTCCGAGACTGCGCCGCCGCACCTCGCCCGGCGATGGAGTCGCGTAGGAGTGGCGGAGCTGCAGCAGGAGGAGCTCAAGCGGCGGCGCAAGGAGGAGGAGGCGGCGAGGCGCAAGGCCGAGGAGCAGCAGCGCAAGGAGGAGGAGAAGCGGCTGAGGCGCGGCGGGAGCGGGCGTATAGGACGGTGGCGGCAGAGAAGGGGGAGACTCAGACCCCCCTCCCCCCCCCCCCTCCGCACCTCACCCTCTTGTGGCGACCTCCCCCCTGCGAGCAGGGAGGAGCGGCAGGCGGCCTTAGCGGCCGAGGCGGAGGCGGAGCGGAAACGGAGGCGCGGGGCGGCGCGCGCTCGCGGCGGAGGCGGCCAGCGTCTCCTCACAGCTCTGGCTGCGAGCAGGCGCGAGGCGGCGCGAGAGACGTCGCGGCAGAGAGAGGTCGACGCGGCGCGGGAGGCTGCGCGCGAGGAGGCGAGGGCGAGGGAGGCGGCGCGCGCGAGGGAGGCGGCGTGGGAGGAGGCGAGGAGAGAGCAGCGGAGGGAGCCCCCCCCGAGGGAGCCGCTCCCCGCCCCTCCTGCCGCGGACAGCCGCGCCGCCGCTCCAGTGTCAGCCAACCCCGCGCGGGTCGACCTTTCCGGCGCGGCGCGAGACTGGGCGAGGGAGGGCATGTGGGCCGGCCTCTACGGCGGGGGCGGGGGCGGCGGCGGCGGGTTTGCGCGCCAGCTCCCTGCACGGAGTCAGCTACCGGTGCCTGCTGCGGCACTGTACGGGTCCCCGCTCGGGGCGCCGCTGGCTCCGGACACCGCCGTGGCGGCTCTCGAGGACGCGCGGGCGGCGGCGGCGGCGGCGGCGGCGGTGAGGCAGGCGCAGCTCCAGCTCCAGCTGCAGGCCCAGCGGCAAGCGCTCGCGGCGCGAGGTGCGCTCTGGTCCGGCGCGCCCTCTGCTGGCGCGTCGCTGCTGCAGCTGCCTCAGGCGCAGGCGCAGGCGCAGCAGATCGCGGCTGGTGGCGGGTGGGCGGGGGGCGCGGGATGGGGCGGCCTCATCGGCGGCTTGCCCACAGCCAGCCTGCTGGCAGCCTACGGGCAGCAGCTGCCGTCGCAGCAGCAGCAGCATCTCCCCGTCGCCGCCACGAGCGCAGCCGGCGGCACCGCGTTGTCGCAATTCGGCCAGGCGCCGCTGCCGCCCCCGTGTCCACGAGAG